TGGTATGCAGAACTTCAATAGAACAACAGTCCTGACATTTGGGTTTCGTTTTTTTGACTCACCCTGTATTTCAATAAAAATAGATGAATGTTCCATTTGTGGTGTTTGGATTTTGTGAAGTTTTAACATTGAGGTTTATAAATCAGTGGAACTGCCTACCGACTTGTGGTAGACATGGTCAGATCAATACAGTTTGTGAGCTTCAAGTTTATTTTTTGTACTTCCGTGCCATTCCAACCTTTTTGTCAGTGTTGGAGATTTGTTGGTTCTTTGTATGAAGTATTCAAGGGCATTTTAACACAATTCTCACACTCATACATACATACATGTGAGATTGTTATGCCACAACATGTGTAGCATTGTCCCAACTATAGTTGGGGCGATTCCAACTGGTAGTTGGGATCATCCCAACTATAATTGGGACTTCCCCAACATTATATAGTTGGGACCGTCCCAACTAAGCAGACATGTACGGTAGTTGGGACGATCCCAACTACCGGTATATATAGTAAAGGCCATTGCTACTTCATTGGGGCATTGCGTTCTAAATTTGTGCATGTATACAGGAACTTGTGTATCTCGTGCAAGCTTAAAACAAAAACTTTTTTTAGAAAGCATTTTTTTGGCAGATAATGCCTCTGGTATGTAAAACATGTGCATACATGTACCTCTTAAGATGTAATTTTATTTATGTCTTGAAAAAGTGCCAATAGGCCTGAAGCATAGTGACTCACACTTTGTTTACATGTGCGCTTTCTTATGGAAGCCACGTGGGGACACGAGCCACAAAGCTGCCTTATAGGTTTAAGCATAGAGAAACTGTTTTGCATTGAGACAAATCTGAATCGTAACATTTAGGACTATTTTCTAGGGATTCTTTTTTTAAAATTTTGTCAGAGATCTGTACACATAATATGTGTACACGTACATTTTTGTACAAGTATGTACAGTGTACTGTACTTTGAAATGTTACACAAATCACCCATATTATGTGTGCACCTTTGATGCAATGTTATATATTGTACGGTATAAAATGATGTGTATGCACTTTTTCAAAATTTCTTCCAAAAATACCGGAACATGTTTACAGTATGTCATTTTTTTTTGTTACTGCATTTAAATTCTGTTCGGTTAGTTTTGAAACCGGATATTTCGCTGTTTGCAAAGTTGACTAATCTTTTCTTATCTGTTTGAAGAGTTAAAATTGTAAATGAATCACCAATCTAAGTTTGTAGAATTCTCCATTTCAAAGAACTGAAATTAATTTGGCCCAAAAAAAATAGTTCTGCTTCCGGTTACCCTTCCTTCCTTCTTAGCTCAGTATTTTGACAGCTCCCACCCTTATTTTTTGGGGGGAAAATGAGGAAAGAAACCGAAAACCATCAATTTCTCCCTTTAACCCATGACTACATGCAGACACCTCCATGATCGTACACACACAAAAATTGTCAAAAAAGGTACCTACCCTATTTTCAAATGCCGTGTTATCGGAAGCAGCAATATTTTTTTTGGCCTTATTTTATATTCTGGCCAGTGGCATCTAGTGTATAGGGATGGTAAAGTGAGATGTTGCTATTATTGAAAATTATATTCCTATTTTTAAAAAAATTCAATAGAATTAATGGTAGTTCTTAACCAGAATTCAACCTCAAGCCACCCTCTCCCCCACTTTGGTTTGGCAACGCCCCATCCCTCACCCCCTTTGGCACCCTTGCAGTTGCAACCCCCCCCCCCCCCAAAAAAAAAATATAATTCAGGGCGAAATTCTACAAAAATTTGTCAAGTTTGCATTCATTCAAATATGTAGGAACTGCACTATTTCTACATTTTTTATCACAATCCCATTTGAGAGGAACCCAGTGTGCCCTGCTTGTGCCTGCCTTTAATTGTCCGATCCGGTTTGGCGCGATGCCAAAGACCAACCAAGTCACGATGACAGACGACACTGTGCCATTTTTTGTCGTTCCTTAGGCTGTTGTGAAATCAACTGCAATCTATCGAAAAAAGCATGCATAAATGAATACGAAAAAACCACTACATGTGCTCTGAACTAGTGGGAGTACCAGTAGCAAGCTTTATAATGCACTATGTGTATGCTGATGAAGGATACATATCAAAAGGATTTAGTGAGTATCAAAAATTTCATGTTCTTTGGCCTTTACAAAAACACTTCAGAGCTGTAACCTTGAAAAAAAAATTGGATAGGAAGTCTCTGGTAAGTCGACTGGGCAGGCTATTCATATACCAAGAAGACCACTAGGAAGTAAATGCAGTTACAATCAGAGACCATGGAGCAAATTGGGGGATGTTCCAGTAGCTTTCTTAAGCCTGTGTCACACAAAAAAAGGAGTGCTTAATTTTTTTTTAAAGGGTGGTTTCGAATATCCGGTTTCTAAAATCAAAACCGAATAGTGGAATGCAACCGAATTTTTAAAAATCCAGATTTAAATCTCACCGCTAATCAAAACTGCTTTAATTTGTTTTTGTTTCCCTGGCATTCTACTTCCAATTACTTGCGGGGCACCACTAAAAATACATTAAACTTTCGGTCTGTGGCTGGTCTACATGTCTACACATGAAGCGTTGTCTCTATCACGTTTGGTTTTCCCACTTTCACACATGTGCTGACCGGTTTCTCTTTCAAAGCTGAGTTTTGAACCTCCGATTCTGATTGTCGGCCTGTTTCTGAGAAACTAAGAGTCTTCTTGATTTCCTTGTCACAACTTGGAATTCTGTGCAATTTGTTTAAAATCTGAATGTCTGCCTCAATTCCAATGAAACACGCACAGACTCTTTGTGTATTCGCTAGTTACGATACATTTTGTTCAGAGGAAATAGAAAACCGACAGGTATTGCAGTTTCATGTTTCACTTTCTACATACTTTTAGCTCATTAGCCAAAATGTTGTATATTTTTCTGGCTTCTGCGTGTAAACATGAGCCAGTTTATATAACTTTCCACTCCTGTGCACATCCAATACATGAAAAAAGGCTAGGCATATAGAATAGGAGCATTTACTAATTCATACATTTGGTTCATTTCCAATAATATCACTCATGGGGTTTAAACTTTTAATTTTTGAGGGTGACTTGACGTGGAATGACCCCCATACATGTACACATACATGTATATGTACCTAAAGGTAAAAATGTCAGACAGATGTACATGTACACGTACATGTACATAAAACATGTATAAATATGTCCGTATCATCAACCCATTTACATGTACTTTCCATTGAAAAAGGAAAACCATGTTCTGTTGCTTCCCTCCTTTGGGGAAATTGGCAAACCTGTAGACTTAACGAAAAGTATGAGTTCTAAGTGCACTGGTCAGACCATTAGGTCATGCCACTTTACAAGAACTATACATACATGTGCAGTGTACATGTACGTCCAAATGTCAGACAGTTACAGATAAATAAACATATCCATTTATGTGGTATCATCAGCCCATAACTTTCCATTGAAAAAGAAAAAGCATATTTTGTTGTTGTTGGGTTTTTTTATCTACGAAAAATGTTCTGAATTGCCTGCAAACTAGTATGAGCTCAATGCTCCACCTAGACCATGCAGCCATGGCACTTTACTGAAGCTGAATGTCAATTAAATGTCAGACAGTCACAGATCTATGTCCATTTATGTGGTACATGTGTATCATCAGCCCATAGCTTTCCACTGAAAAAACGAAAACCATATTCTGGTTGTTGTTTTTTTCTCTGTGGGGAAATGACCCATCCTTGTCCAATCCCACTTGAGCTGCTGCCTGTCCATTTTGCTGCAGTCATACAGTCTCTGCATATGTATCTGTATTTTGCTTGTGTGGCCGTATGTTTCACAATCTCTTGAGGGGAAGTCACATTGCTCATAAATGGGTTGCTCAGAAGTGGGAAGTACCTACCGTACCAGTACCTGGGAACTATGTAGGCTAGAGGCTGTCATTACAATAAGTGACATTGCTGATATCATACAGTATGGTGCCTGTTTGTGAGTTTGTTTCAATGTTTGGTTTTGTTGGGGGTTTTTTTTTTGGGGGGGGGGGGGTAAGTAAAGTCTGTCCCGAGCCAATGTGGCCCATCAGGCCGGCGTTTATCTCCGGTTTCAGTAGCATGAAACGACTGAGAATATTTCTACTCCCCCAGGACGGGATGCCAGTCCATGGCAGGTTACTCCCCAGCTAATGCCGGTACCCATTTATAGTACTCCTGGGTGGAGAGGGGCAAGTGGGGTGAAGTAGCGTGCCCAAGGACACAATATATGACCGGCAGCTGGATTCGAACCCCTGACCCTCTGATCATGAGTCACAAACCTTAACCATGAACCTTAACCACTAGGTAATTGCAAAATACCCCGCCACTCGAAAATGAACCTTTAACAATCTGGCTATGCAGCCGAAGGAGCAACCTACACGTATAGCTAAGTCCAACGTACGTTACCTACACACCGGAACCGCTTGCTGTATCATACAACATTTATAAATAAAACCATCACAGTGTAAAACCTGGTCAATACATTGTAAATCTGGAGGTCCTTTGTTCACTACTCACAGCATTATACACCGGCGTGTTATAAATCTCCCTAGATTCAGAGGGCTTTCAGTTTTCAAACAAATTTGTTTAGGACCAGTCATCCTTGCAGGAATTCCTTTTACTCAGCCAAAGCCTTAGGGTAGGTTGACAGACTTGAATGCAAAGGTTTCGTGGCAAGAAATTGCAAAATGAATACACAAAAAGGTTTAGTACCATGCATGCTCATTCACCTCTGGTGATTCGTGAGTTTTATTCATTTGAGATTTGCCATTGTGTCAATTACGTAAATCAGCCTAAAAGACCTAGTGTGTGTGTCATATCATATACGTGCACTGTATGTTAGAACCCTCAAACCCCACTTACACGTACAAGAAAGGACAGAATTGTCTGAAGCAATTGCCCCTTTAAAATTTCCAAATCCCCAACTTGCATTGGTTGCTAAGGTAACCTCAAGTCTTTACTTTTGTTTCAGTGCAGAGGTCACCAGATGTCACAGGATAGGAGGACTTTCAGGAAATCGGCGAAGGCCTCATTGTCAATATGCACTGTGAACTAGTGTGCAGTGTACCGCTGTGGCAATAAGCAAGCTCAGTAAATGTAACAGCGTGCAAGTACATGCATTTCTTGGTAGTGGTACAGTCACTGGGTACAGTTTCTCTGTATTCTGCCCGACAGAAGTGCGTGCTGTGCTCTGGTATTGGTTACGATTACCACCAGGAAAGCAGGAATACTGGCCATCTGTGGCTCACCTTTGGGTTGTATTTTTTCAGAGCAATACATGACATTAGTGGTGCCTTGAGTTCTGATGAATTTCTGTGCTACGTGGAGTCAACAAATTCCTTCATGTATTGCGCATTACTTTCAAGGATAGCAGGGTGACTACATTGTTCCTGTTTGTGACCAGGGGATCGAATCAATCAAGTGGAGCATTTTTAAAAGCGAAAGTGGATCGATTGGAACTGTGTGGATTAGTATCCAGCAACAGAGGGAAGCCATTCGCTCACTTGGTGGCTGATTACTAGGCTGTGTAGATCGTGTTTGTGGTGTTCCATGTTCCATGAGGCGGAAATGTGAACTTCAGGCTCAAGGAATTGGGAAAACCAACTAAACCTCGAGTTAGTCTCTCTCCAGTGTCAAAACACAGAGCTGCTCGCCAGCCATGGGGCAGCCGGACGACTTCCATCAGACCAGCGACCGAAGAAGGGACAGAGTCAGTCGCAGCTCCGCATCCAAGAGCAGCGAGGAGTCTTTTCTCTTGCAAGCCGCCAGCAAGGAGGAATCCTCCAGCAGGAACACCAGCTCCAGCAGCCAGTCTCAGGACACGGATTTTTCTCTCAGAGTTCAATTGCCCAGTAAGAGACAACATCATGAGCCTCCCCCGACTCAGGCTGGGCACTGCCAGCACTGCCTCAGGTGGTCAGGTCTCAATAAGCAGGACCATTATCGTGAGGTGATTAAAAACGTCTTTGAGCGGCCGGACAGCACCCATTGGCAGACTGCGATACGTACCGTGAAATTGGAGCGTGACGACAAAGGATCACTGGGAATCCGATACTGCACAGTCAAAGTATGTATTTCTTGTTTTGTTTTGATTTTCTTCCCTTTTTTTATTTAGCGTAAACCTCAGTATGGTCTTTATCATTTCCTGTAGGCTTGCGACAGTTGAAAGTTTATAATGTGAGGCTCGATTTGAAACAGTAGGCTGTCCAACTTTTATGAAAGTTCCTACATGTAGTTGTTGAAATTTATCTTTAGTGTTCATAAATAGCATTCTGAGACAGTTTACCAATTCATATTGGTAAACCGCATCCAGTTGTATATCATGGAAGATATTGGAAGATATTTCACAAGCTGTGTTTACGCGATTCTAACACTACGAGTTTAGCACTACGCACATGAGGCACATACCATAGACATGGCCAGAGAGGTGTGTCATAAAACATGAAGTAAAATTGTTGAACAAAATTGTTGGAAATTTGTGGGGTTTTTTTTTTACTCGTTTTGACCGAACTGTATGTGCTTGGCTTCAGCTCGGGCCATTGCATCCATGCCCATAGCCAGTTTTAAACATACTTGTTTATTAACCCGGCCAAGCACATACATGTATTTATTTTGTATTCATTCCTACCCATTCCTAATTTGTCGAGAGCCCGTCATGTGGTCAGTCTTAAACGGATGATAAAGACCGGCTGGCTGGTCTTAAACGCTTTCCCAGTGTCACATGAAATTAAGGACTTCTATGAAATCCAGTACCTTTTAGTACCGTTTTATTGGTTGAACCTTTACATTCCTCACATAGGCATGTGCAATACTACCAGTGAGTCAGTATTTCATAGTCCTAAATTTACAACCCACCGCCACAGCTGCATTCTGCGCAACATCGCGCAGTACCCGCGACACACGCCACACTCCATAAAAGGAGTTGTTTACAACTTACTCACGAGCTGGATGCTCCATTATATAACTAGAGGGGTGTTTCGAAAAAATGAAGTGAGATTGTTGAACACAATTGTTGGAAAATATTAATTTTTTATTTGTTTAGACTTTTGGACAGAAAAGTTTTGATTTTTTGACCGAAAAGGTATTTATGGATGGGAATAAATATGTGCTCGGTTGGTATTAAACACTCTGTTTAAGACTGGTTGTGGTCTGGATGCTGATAATTACCCTCCCCTTTGGCTCAGGTAATTATCAGCATACAGACTCCAACCGGTCTTAAACAGAGTGTTTAAAACCTCCCAAGCACATATTTATTTCATTTGTTGCATTATGCTGTGGGGAAAAAAAACAGTTTTTGAGTTCTGTCTTCTCAAAACAGGGAGAGGACTCGGGCACCGTGTACACACTGGTCAATAAGGTCTTCCGTGGCGGACCTGCTTCAGGCAAAATTCGCCAGGGAGACTGGATCCTATCGGCCAATGGTCAACCTTTGGACAGTGAAAAGGTATAGTTGAATGTTACTTTGTCCTCCTCCCCCCCCCCCCGAAAAAAATTAAAAGATCTTGTCAAATTTAAAAGAGTACTGTGATTCAATGTTTGACCGTGTTTTTTTTAGCGTCTGATGTTTGACCATTTTTTGGCTTTGTGTGCCTTTTGAACCGTGACTGAAGGTCATGGTGACGGGTTCTTACATTAGGCAAGACGAACAATGCAATTGCCTCTCTCCACCCAGGAGTATGCACGCCCAGGCGTAGCAGGCCAGGCAAAAGTGTGGGATATTTGGAATTCTTTTGAGAATAGTGTGTGCTGAGAGATTTTGTCATCTATATATATAAGAGAGAAGTTTACTCGCCCCCGAGACGATGTTTGCTCCTGAAAGGATCCGAGACCGCGGGCTCCCGCGGCGCCAAAATCGCTCCACGTCCGTGGAAAAATGCGGAGGGTGTCTTCCGCCGGGTCGGACACTTCGTGGCGTCCTAATTTTCCCGTACGGACCGGCGATCCGTTTCGTCGATTTTTCGTGACTGCGTTTTGCGCAGGAATTTGCCGTCGTGTGAGCTTTCACGTTGACTGCCTGGCCGCCCCCCGTGCTGGCTTTTCTGCGAGTCTAGACTGTGCGAGGTCAGCGGCTTCAACGTAGGGGTTTCGTTTACGTGTTCTACTCAGCCGTTCTGCAGAAGTGTTCACCAAATGGTAGTATGGGGTGACCTTGGCAAAATATTTTTTCTCCATGGTGCGTGGCCACCAAGTGTCCCTATTCTTTCATATGCTTCGCTTGCCGCCCCTGCGCCGAGTGCAACGAATCCCCAGAAGGACTATACACATTAGAATGCCTTGCCGCGGTCTGACCAATCGAAAGTCTACACTGCGTAGTACTTCCGGGCTATGCGTAAAACCGTCACTGGCAACGCGTACTGCAGCCTGCTCCACACCCTGGAAACGAGGTTGAGTCTACGGTGCTCGCTATTTGAAGCGCAAGCATGTAACGTCGCGTGATAGAGTGCTGTTGCTTCTATATTGTGTTTACAGCTCCACGCTTCCACTAGCTCTATGCTTCCACCAAGGCTGAGCGTTGTGAGTTCGCTGCACGTCACAGTCAGTGTCGCGTTATAATTTCGGGGGCCTGTTTGGGATCAACGAAGGGTCGATGCATTGCTTCAAATATTGCGATCTTGAAACGCAGTCACAAAAAAATCGACAAAACGGATCGCCGGTCCGTACGGAAAAATTAGGACGACCTGAAGTGCTTGATTTGGCAGAAGAAATTCTCCGTATTTTTCTATGGACGTGGAGCCATTTTGGCGTCGTGGGAGACCGCGGTCTCGGAACCTTTCAGGAGCGAACATTTCTCGGAGGCCGAATAAAACTTGCTCTTAGATGGTTGACCAACTTGAATAAAAGTTGAATCGACTTTTTCCTCGCAGACGGTCTCGCAAATTGTAAGAAGTTCAAGTTTACGTTTGTTGAAGAGTCCAATACTGAAACTTAATTATGACCTTCCTCCATCATTCACACCGTTTGTAATTTTATGGTAACTAACACTCAACATTTCTATTGCAAATGACAACTTCACGTTTGATTACATTATGATTTATTGTCAAAACTGTATAATCAGCCTTCGCCTGTGTACTACGGTAACCTTTTCACTACGTTCTCCCGGCAATGCGACTGCCTCACAAAATGCCAATTCAACAGACCAACGGGAACATTTACAGACAGTTATCAGGGTACATAATTATCATGTGCGTAAATCGGTGGGGAAGACAAGAGGGGGACCCCCCCCCCCCCCCCCCCCCCCACATTTTAAAGCGGGGACATTGTTTGGTCCCCCCCCCCCACTTTTTCTTCCCCGAATAAAAATTGTAGCCTACTATAATAATTCCATTGCTCAGAATACCGTGTAGATGATTCAATTACCCCAAGCTCGAAAATGATGTTTAAAAGATGATCTTTTGCTCAGATTGGTTTCAGTGGTCAGAAATTGCCTCAGATCACACCACAAAAATTGTTTTTCTATAACTGCATGTCTCCTCAATGATCCCCCATTTACATTTAACTGCCCACATTTTCATCCCCAACACTACGCCCTATACCCGATCTATGATCGGGTAAATCAGCTTGTCAGTGATAACAGTGAATGTCTGTTTGATACACTACATGATACTTATATTTGGAGGTTTTCTTTTTTGTTCTTCTTTTATTTTCTCTCCTTTATTTGCATTTATTCACTACTTTATTGGCATTCAGCTATGCACTACGGTGAATAGCAGAAGAAACAATGCCAGTTAGGACATGGTGGTAATATGGTCAGTTTTTTTTAACCTGTCAGGGCAATACGCTACGGTCCGTTGTCAGTGCCAACAAAAACGACCCCGTCTGCCTCATCATCCAACGCCCGGAGGGGATCAACTGCAGAGAGACAAGCGGGCAGAGTCCACGTCTGCAACGCTCTGTCAGCCAGGAACGACGCAAAGGAGAGGAAGAAGCAAAAGGACCCCACAAGCCCGTGGAGAGAATGGACAGCAGCAAGATGTCCACCAACTCCTCCCACACTTCGGATTCCTCCTCCGACAAGAGTGACATCCGGCCCAAAACTCTGGAGGACAGACTTCAGGCTCTTGTCAACTCGGGGAACAATTCCCGGTTGGATACCCTCATGCCCAGACTGCCTTGCCTGAGAATCCTGATAGCTGGCTGTCAGGCCGAGACGTTGGCTGTATCTCTCTTGAAGGGAGTGGGGGAAGCGCAGCCATTGGCCAGTGACATTGGGATGCATTACCGTGCTTGCGTGAAGAAAACAGGCTCGGAGCTCTCCCTAGGTGCTTCCCATGAGGATTCCAAGGAGTGGATAATGGAGCTCTTGGAGTCCGTCGCCGATGAGAGCAACTTGAAGCCCGACGCCTTGAGTGATCGTGTCCAGCTTGAGCTAATCGCCACGAAGTCTCACCCCTTCTCCACGTACTGTCAACACGTCCTCGCCACTGCCCACTCCATCTTTGTCATCCAGTTTTGCTGCCAGGACTTTCTCACCGACAAGCAGTCAGTCCTTCGAGACATCCAGACCAGACTCAACAAGATCCGCACCTATGCGTCCAGCAGAGCCCCCGTCTATCTGGTGGCAACGACAGATCACTGCTTACCGGTGGAGCAGCTCACCGCCATAGGCCAGAGCCTTCATCAACATTTTGCCAAAGCCTTCATGAACCAGCTCCAGTACGACCCTACCACCAACTGCCCCTGCTTTCAAATTGTGCGGACCAACCCCGGAGAGCTTCTCAACAAAGCGTTCACTGATCTCAGCCTAGGAGTCAATTTGGAATCAGACTTTGAAACGGAGCAGTGTCGTATTGTGTCATCCAAGAACTGCAGCACCTTGGATGTCTGCTACTCTGTTGGAAGTAACCCCGCATCGTCAGGGATCCACCCACGGGACAGGGGATTTGAGGTTGGAAAACTGCGAGACCGCATATTGCGCATGGCCTTTGAGCAGCCGTTCATCGTGGATCGGTACCCCTACAAGTACCTGCTGCATCGTGAGAGAGTCCAGCGTCTCAAAGAGAACAGTCCTCACTATGCTTTCAAAGCTGGGATCAAGGGAGAATGCGGAAGAAACACCTCAGAAAAAGATCTCCGTAGTCTGCTTTATTTCCTTCACCACAGCGGAGATATCATATATGCAGGTTTGTGAAAATCAACCGATCCTTTGTTAAACTAAGCTAAGAAGGAGGGTCTGTAACAAGTGTACAGTTGGCTCCTATAAAAGTTAACCCTTTTTTTAAAGAGAAAAGTCTCTTGTCTTTAAAGTCCAGCATTGGTAAATATTTGCAGTGTTGCTAAACTTCAAACCAGAGTTTGTTTTGGCTTCAAGTACAGTTTTGTTAACTTTTTGGCAGTTGTGTGTATAGTATTGCAACAGAAGTACAGATAAAAATGGTTCAGGATGATAAATAAATTTTTAGTAGTGGGTTTTAATGTCTGTCTTTTTTATGCAGATTTTCTTGAGTACCGGACCTCTAGTAGCAACCTGTTCAAAATTGCCAGCAACAACGTGCTTCTGGACCGTCGGCATCTCATTGAGGCCGCCAAGCAACTGACCACCGTTCCAAGCCTCTCCGACCAGCAAGACAGCCACTTCCGTGACTCCATGCAGCACTGGCAGGACCTGGGCCAGAAGTCCGTCGCTTCATCGGCATTCCTGGAGCACCTGCTCCGGCACGACCCCAAGAGCGACCCGGAGAATTTGCTGACCACGCTAGGGCTGATGGGATTGGTTCACTGTCTGCAGAACCCCGACGCGCCTTCAGCGACCATCCCCACCACCAACACCTACCTAGTCCCGTTCTTCCTTCCCCACGAGGTGCCGTCACCTTACCCTCAACCTCGCAACTCATCAGGCCAGTCCTACCAGCTCTGTCTAGACTTCCACGGCAGCATACCCCACGGGTTCTTCCTAGCCTTGCTGGTTCGCCTTCTCGCCAAGGTTCGGGAGACCCACGGTAGATGGAGTATCGACGGACCCAGCTCGGCACGCCTGAGCTTTGCCAACGACTGTGAGATGGACATAGTGTGCGATGAGCTGCAGAGTATCATCACTATTTCAGCAAGGTCAGTCTGGGTTTTGACTGTGACGCTTTTATTTTCTCTTCAGTCCACTACAGTTGAAGTAAATCATTTACTCAGCATCACAATCTTTTTGAAATGGTATTCAGTGCATATTCCGCTATGTGTGAGCAGCCGTCATCAAACAAAGATTCAACCAAATTCTTTTTCCCCCAAAAAACTGCTTTGCGTCAAAATATTTACTATCAATAAACAGTGGCATACCAATGATTTGGCTTGGGGGGGCCTCACAATTTTTTATTGTTTTTGTTTTTTAGAAGTTTACTTCTTTTTTTAAATGTTGCCCAAATGTTTTGGCCGCAGAAAAAAATTGTTGTTGTAGTTTTTGTTTTTTTTGTTTGTTTTTTTTGGGGGGGGCTATTTTGACATTGGTGGCGCCACGTACACCCTTACTGTACTACTCGAAAATAGGAGTCAAATCGTGGGACTAAAAAAAAAAATTTGACAACCTCTTGGGGGGGGGGGGGCTCAAGCCATAGGGATATGTGGGAATTGTTTTCATTTTGCTGATAGAACACACACCTTTTTTGTGATCTGTGGACAGAACTTTAAAACGATGGTTGTGTTTAAAATTCCATAACTTCAAAAGTACATGAGTGATTTGAATGATTCTGGTACTAAAAGAAAGATAATGAATTGGGCTTTCATATCCTAGATGTTGGAAATGCTACATGCAGAACTTCACTAAAACAGAAGTCCCGACATTTGGGTTTCGCTTTTTTTGACCCGCCCTGTATTGGTAAATTTATTCTCATAGGTGCAGTGTGACCTACAAACTGCTAGATCTTCTGGGCGCAATCACCAACATCGTGGACGATCTGAGGTCCGTCAAGTCCGACTTGCAGATCACCGTGGGCCCACCTTGCCCCCTACACCCCCACCACTGCGAGGTCAGGGCCGGGGAACCAGGGAAGACCCATGTGATAGATGTTGCCGGAGGCAAGGTGCCGGTGCCGCTATGGTGTGGGGACCAACAGTTGGACTTGTACCCTGAGGTTGACCAGTGGCTGCTCAAACCGGCTGATATTATGCAGGTAAAACAAGGGTACCAGAAACATTGAAATTGAAACAGTTTGTTGAACTGTTCAACATCAAACCGAACACGATTATTAAATTGTTTTCCCCGAATTAATTGCAATAATAGGATGTGAAAAGCTTGTTATATTCTAGTAATAAAAACTTCCTTGATCATTTAAAGGGTAGATACAACATTTGCGAACATAAAAAAACAAAATAATCAAATTATCTCGAAATGGCTTACTGGATTGCTAGAGAATGACAGTCCAAAGCATCCTGTAAAATCGTGGCTCCTGGTGTGCTGACATTTTCAAGAAAACTTGTATTTTTCCAACGCTGGTCGGCTGACCAGCATTGGAGAAAAGTTTTCAAAAAGTACTTTCATATTTAGTTATTCCGCATTTTCTTTGCAATTGATTACATACCTGTGAAGGGGTACAAGCCTTCTAGACTGATTCTCTGGCCTTAAAATCCCCCAAAGTCTATCAATTGCTTTGTTTCATCTTACGTGGGGTCAGGGAACTAGACTACAAGAACATGATTGGTTTTCTTGGATTTTCCAGCATCTCCAAACCAAAAACGTGAAGCAACTCAGTTTACCAATATTTGCTTTAACATACTAATCCTCCAAATCCATTTTTTTCTGAAAATTGCAGCAAAAGAAAATGTTGTGCATTCTCTTTAAATTTAATGTTGAATAAATATAACTTAGGGATTCTCTTAACAGGGGCGGATCCAGGAATCTTTGCAGGGGGGGGGTTTCATCAGTCCAAAATTGTGAAATGTAGACAGGTTTTTTTTCTCCGGACACTTGGCCTCCGAAAAGCAAAACAAAAATGGAAAATAAAGTTAAATGGGACACAAAGGTTCATTTTCAAGGAATGCATAAAATAAATTTCAACGCATGGGCCCTTTAACTCCTATTCTATGGGGTCCGTGCACACACACAAGGGCCTAACTTTGGTCATGTATTGTTTGATCCGTGAGGGTGAAGGAAGTTTGGGATGAAGTGCGTACATGTACATCCTGACTATGTTGATATTGTCATCTTTCATTTTCCTATGTTGTGGTGCATTTACATGGACATAGGCGTACGTGTACCTCGCATGTACTGAGTCCAGCGTTTGGTTGCAGTATGAGGAAGTAAACACCAACAACTTAATGAGAAAACCAGAACCCCAAACTGTGACATGAGAAATTTGAGGTCAGGGCAAAAACAATAACAAAACAGATGATCCTGTTTCGAAGTTTACAAAGGCCCGAAATACGTCAAAACAATTCCTGCCAAGTGAAAAAGATTGACAATTTTTTTCCCACGCTTGTAAGGCTTGTTTATTTTATTGCTCAGTAGTCAGCGTTCCAAGTATGGAATTTGTTTTTAACCACTTCGCGCTAGGATTATGTTGTCACTGACCGGACCCAGGCGTGGGATTGTTTTTCATGAACCTCGGTGCCAGACGGGTTTAGGCCGTCATCTGCGGGTAGCACACCCTCATATTTCCGGTTGCAGACAGATATTTCCGGCCTCGCTCGCTGCGTGTTTAGCCGTCACCCGTTCCGAATACCGCAAAACCTTTGCATGTATACACGTCATCCGACGTGAACTGGTAAGCGGACTGTGGAAGGCACTGTTTTAACCTAACTGATGATAATTGGACTTGATATGCTGTAGCATTTTTCTTTAAAAAAATTAATTCATTCACTGAACACATTAAAGACTTCAGTTTGTGTTTTTGTGACTTGTAAATGAAGTTATCTTAATGGCAAGATTTTACCAATCCAACCGACCAAAATGAACCTGAACGCACAACAGCAACCATTGAGCAAATACTTCACAATAAAAATCAACAAAAAGGTTGTCACAGTCATAGAAAAATCCTGGGATATCCTGAAATTTAAAGCTATCATTGGAGAGTCATGAAAAAGTCATGGTGGTGGTGTTGTTATTTTACAAGAAGTTATGGAAAGTTGATATAAAAGTCAGTCTTCCAGTGTAAATTTCACTTTACTATAATTCTTTGTTATGCATGTACTTGTGTGCATGTTCAGTGCACCATTGTGACACATTTGTGGTGCTCAGGTGTTAAACCTTTATTGTCTTGTCTTGAATTCCTTCAGAAAAGAGACAATCACTGCCCGGTATGTCTGTACATACATGTACATGTACATGTACATGTATACTGTATGTATTACAATGTACATGTATGTACATGTACATGTACATGTATATGAACCGGTATGTACTTACCGGTACGTGGTATTTTGGTTAAAGTTTCAAGGAGTTACTCTCATTTCTAAAGTTGGAGTCAATTGGAACCAAACTTGGGTCATAGATGCAACATGGGAACCTTCAAATGATTATGATGTCAAAGGTCACATACCAAGCTCGAAGGTCAACTGAGGTCAAGTTGTAAAATAGGCTGAAAATGTACAATTGGTCTCATTTCTAAAGTTGAAGTCCAATTTGAACCAAACTTGGGTCATAGATGCAGCATGGGAACCTTCACGTGGTAATGATGTCAATGGTCACATACCAAGGTCAAAGGTTATCTGAGGTCAAGTTGTAAAATAGGCTGAAAATGTACAATTGGGCTCATTTGAAAAGTTGAAATTGGAACCAAACTTGAATCATAGATGCAACATGGCAACCTTCATATGATAATGAAGTCAAAGGTCACATACCAAGGTCAAAGGTCACTCTTTAAAGATAATCGCGAAAGCAGGCAAGATGCGCGGTTCAAGAACTACCTTGTTTTTAATGTGATGACTGGCCAGAGTATTGTAAATAGGCTCCTAAGATGCTAAAACAGCAAAGGAATTGGTCTTGGAAAGCCCTTAAAACTCATGGAATTTCATTGTCAAATTCTGTGGGAAGCCTGAATTTGTATGCGTTCTTTTTATGGTCTTTTCACAGGTGTCCTTACTGCCCAGCCACAATCCCATCCAAGTCAGTCTGCGCACCCACGTTAAGAAGTGGCCCCCCGCGCTGTTCAACTGGCTGTGCAATCAGCTGAACGCGCCCCCTGTTGGCAGAGATTGGCAAGGTCTAGCAGGTAAGGCCAGTCTCGAACCCCCACCCTGGGGCTGTTCTGAATATATACCAAATATTCAAAGAATGGATCATCAACCGAATATTCGAATAGCTCTTTGCCGGTTCGAATACTTGAAGAAGCAAAAGAAGGGAAACAAACGCACGTACTCACATGACTGTGATGTTATTTTAATCGTAAAGTTGCGGCGCTATCTTGTCAGATGCCATTTTTTTATCGACGGCGGTTCATTGTTCCCCTCCTTTTAGCTCGTTAAAGCCCTTGACAGTCGTAAAATACTTACCATAAAACACTCCAGCGGCCCGTTAATATCGATTGCCGCGCGCACATTTTTAGCCGGCGTGCTTTGCGTGCAAATTTTGACCGGCGCGGCACACAGTTGCGGCTGGCACGTGTAAAATTTAATCAGCGAGTTTCGAATATTCAGTCAAATGCAGTTTCGAATAATTAAGTACAAAATTATTAGTTTAATTTAATTAGTTTAACCCTAACCGAACTCAACCCATCAAAGTTCAACAGCAGGTTTTGTCTAAATCTGTTGGCATAGGTACAGTACCCCTAAACAGATGTCCTTTTACATCGGGTTTTGGTATACCTCCAGAAACTAAGTCCAACAGTGCGTGTGTGTGTACAATTTCCCATGTGGGTGTTGGAATTTGCCTGAATAGGTACGGTTCCTAGTAAATTATGCTGGAAAGTTAGGGTTAATGGTTTGTTATCCCGATGCAAACGAATACGCAGGTTGTAAAACTGTGGACGCTGTGCATGAACAGTACATGGTAAACCTGATGACTACTGAGAGCTCTGCGGGAAGACCAATTTGCACGTACACCCTGGTTTGCGTGCGTGTGGCAGGAAGTACACTCATTAATGTTATTCCTGGTTGTGCAAAAACCGGTCATGTCTTTCCTGGAGTCCCTTTGTTAAAGGGGCGCTTTCCAGAAGCCTTTAACCCGTATATGCCATGTGGCCAGGGATCACGCCTAAAGTCATGATGCAAGCGACATTAACAATGCTGCAAAGCTAACAATTGTAATCAAGCGTCCGCTTCCCATTGTGGTTTAGTTGTTGGAGTATGGGCTCCGTGCACAAGTACCCCATCAACAGCCAGAAAAGGAGAGTTGGGGGTGACCTAGACTGGCTCCCAATCCATCCACTGTGTGTTTGGAATGTATCCAAAGCTATTGGAGGCGGGGATTAGTCTTGGAGACTATCGCAAGTTGAATTTAAACATATTTGCGCGCCGACAACACCTGATGTTCACACGAAGACGCGGTGGCTATAACTTTTGCACATTCAGGAAGTCATGCGTACGGTACTTCACGCGCGAACCAGAACAGTACGTGCACGCTGTGCTCCGTCCACGGAGCTCTCAAAAGAGGTAAAAACGTGTCCTCTTTTGTTGGCCCACGGAGCCCATACCAAAAAACTCTTTAACTTGAAGCTGAATTTCCCCTGTTTTTCCTCACTCGTCTTTTTAGGTGTACTGGGCTACAACGTCGGAGACGTCAGGATCTTCAAGCTCCAGAGGCAGAGCGTCTTTGATCCCTGCTGTTCCCTGCTCCTGGACTGGGGCCGGCATGCTGACTCCACGCTGGAAGCGCTGGTCCGGCTCCTGCACGGAAAACCCATGGAGAGGTTGGACATTCTGACGGATCTGCAGGAGAAATGGCGGATTGTGCAGTGAGCTGGGAAAACTTCCCTGCCGGAAAACCTTGGGAAAACTTCCCTGCCGGAAAACCTTGGGAAAAGTTGCCAATAGGAAACCTTGGGAAAAGGTAATGGCTCATATTTTTTTACAATGACAGTTTCCCAATGGAAAGCCAAGACTTGTCGAAAACGTTTTGTGAAACGTATGTAAGGAAAAAGAGTGGCTTTAAATATGAACACTTTCAATGTCTCGCTGTAGCACCTGACCACGCTACAATTGGCCATGGCCTCATGGTCTGGAGCATTGAATTTGTGGTCTGCGGGTAATTCTGCAGGTTGAGGATTCGAGTCCAGCCTGGGGTTATGGTGCATGTGCCCTTGGGCAAGGCACTTTGTCACTCATTGCTTCTCCCCACCCAGGAGTAAATGGGTACCTGTGAGGGCAGAGATGGTTATTGTGGTTGATTTTAGCTGCTTTGCGCCGAAATGGCAGCATCGAGCTGTATACTCCCCAGGGAGCCGAGATGGTCTTTGGAATGTTTCATTGGCCCAATGAGCAAATGCTGCGCCAGGAGTGTCACTATGTGACAGACATGGTGCCTTACAAGTCTCCATTATTATTATAATTATTATTAATAGTGATTTCCCACTTGGAAAACCACGTGTGGATAACCTTTGGGAAAAGGGAGTTGCTCACTTCTAACAATGACCATTTGCAGGTGGAAAGCTTAGATTGATTGGGGGGGGGGGGATTTGAGGAAGAAAGTGGTGTGAGCTTGCCCAAGCGTTTCTGCCACCTGTACATGTACTTCATCTGTGCGGCCTGGGTCAGGCCAGCAGACCACCTGGCGTCATTGGGAACTTCTGGCCACACATACCAAACTTGCTTGGGTTGGCTGTCCAATTCACATTCCGTACAGCAGCAAGCATGTCAATCAGTAGAGGAAGGTGAAACGTTGGCTACCACAGCATTGATAGCAGCTTGTATTCAGTACAAGCATATGATGAGTTTTTGGATTGAGCATTGTCTGTTGTTTCTTTTTTGGAGCAGGTTTCTTCACTGAATCCTAGACAGATTTTGTTTTGGAGGAGGGGGGATGGGTTATATAAAACTTTTATTGTGTGTGGAAGAGCATTATGTAGATTTTTTTGTTGGAGATGGCGACACCCTTTGGTCTATGCTCAAACATGACTGAATAATGTACTGTAAAATACTATAATTTGAATGGTTCAAATGCTTATATGCACAGACTTTTATGAAAGGTGTGTCTCGTTGTCTTCTGCCTTATGTACAAAGAGAATTAACATATAATCATTGTACGCTCTATTTTGTTTTTGTATTTTAGACCCTGCGTTGGCATAATACAAGTGGTTCAAATGATTTCACCTGTGGACAAATACAGTAGTCATTCCATAAATTTGGGGTCCAATTTTTTTCTTTCTGTCCCTGTTACATCTGACATGTATGATTTTTATTCTTCTGGATGCAGTCTGTAATAGGATCGTCCTCCAAGAGTGATTATGAATAGCATAGTACCGCTACCTACCCAACAAATAACATTGAAGTCATTCTTAATGATAGTTGAATGATAAGTTACAGAGTTGAGAGATAAAAGGGACAAGAAAAATGTCACATTTTGGACCCTAAATTTATAGAATGACCGTTATGTTTCTGCTTTTGCCTTTTTTGAATGTACAAGTGAAACTTTTTTACTGTTGTACTGAACTTTATGCGTGTTGTAATCTTGTATTATCAGCAAGTGCTTCAATTTGTATTTCTTTTTGCAAAGACATAATATGTACATGTGTATTTAAGTGTTTGCCATCAGCTTTTTTTATGTGAACAGCTTGTTTTGTTGTACCTTTTATTTTTATTTGTGTATGCTTGTAGCATTTTCATGGGCATGATACTTTTTATCTAATATTCATGGCATTTTACTAAATACAAAATTAGCATAGTTCATCGTGTTTATCATACATGAATAAAAAACATGTTTAATATTTGCTTGCATGTCCAGATAAGTGGCGGGATTTAAATCCGGATCTTGTAACATTCGGTTTGAGTTCGGTTTCAAGTTTGGAAATCGGATATTTGAAACTAACCTTAAAAAAGAAATTAAGCTTTCCATTTTTTGTGACACAGACTAAAGAAAACATCTAGAACATCCCCCATTTTACTCTGTGATTGATGATTGTAACGGCATTCACTTGCTAGTAGTCTTCTTGGTTCATGAATAGCTTGCCCAGTCGACTTATCAGAGAGTTCCCATCCATTTTTTCAACGTTACAGCTCTGGAGTGCTTTTGTAAAGGCCCAGTGGTCATTCAATCCTGCAAAGTATACCCAGTCATTGGGAGGGCATTGCATGTGGCACCTCACAGTTTTTGTTGGCAAGACTGTGAGCTGGATGGGAACTTCTGGTGAAATCAGATTTTGTTTTTGGGTTTGAAAAGAATAAGATAACCGGATTATGAAATCTCCAATTTCACCCACCACTAGCTCAGATACAAGCTTAAGTTTCAAACTTTACAGAGATCACTGACATATGTGTTTCTGAGTGATCTCTTCTGCTATGTTTGGCGTGTATGTAACCACTGGTGGTTGTCAGTTTAAGAAGCAAAAGCACATTAAAATTCACATTTGAAGTAAATATACATTGGTACAATGGAGTTTTGTAATTTAACAAATTAGAATGGTGTACATAGAATCATATGTATTTTTTTTTTAAATTTACAGTCTGGACTGTCCATGGAAACACCATTCTGCTTTCTGTGCTTACTGATTGCGTGAACAATATTTGCTTGAACAGTTGAGATCTTGAATCAAATGTTCATAAAGTAACTTTGTTGAATGCATATGCATGTCATTTATTTCTCGTCGTTTATGTAATTAACGTTGAAGTGTATTATCATGCTCACAAATCCATTCCTGTAGGGCTGTGCTGTATATACCGCATATCCGGATATCCGGTCATCCACCTTATATCCGAATAGGAATTTACGAAATACAATATTCGGAAAAATGTAAGTTGTCTGGAGAAGATGATGAAAAACATCTGTGATATAATTTTAGTTGTATTAAAGTTGAGTGGTTTTATTCTTTGTCAAATGCGAGATGACATCTGATGATGTTCTCGCATCGCGACAATGTTTTTGTCAACATCCACTTTACATTTTGTATTTTAAGAGCTTTTGAGAGGAATATGAGCCCTAATATGCATCTTTAAAATCTGTCAACTTTCAGCTAGTCGGCTACCTCAAAAAAATGTATCGATACATACATGATATTCAAAAAAGAAATTACCTCATTGTCAATGTTTGAATATTTGGATATTTGATGAAATCCAAAGTCCAAGAATCGAATACTAAATTATTTGGGAGTGCACAGCTCTACATTCCTGTGCTTAATCCAAGTATGTTGTATAATGTACATGAACGTATATTTTTGTACTAAGCAAGCCTTATGAGTGTAAACAAATTAAGGGGTTTTTTTATACGCAGTCTATGATAGGTCAAGTTACAATTCAGTTGCAAGTACTGGAGTGAACAATAATTACAAAGGAATACTTTTGTCACTGTTCATTTGAATAGCTTGTGACTCTAACAGAATCTGGATGACTAGTGACTGACCAGTGAATGACTTGTTACAACGTGTAACAACTTGTAACAACTTGTAACAACTTGTAGTTGTAACAACTTGTAATGGCCTGATTGCTACTGTTTTTTGACATGCGCAATTAATTGAGGTTACAAGTTCTCAACTAAACTCAGGCAGAAGGTCAAATTATGTCGATTGATCGACTTTAAATGCTTGCTGAAAATATGTGCACTTCTGTGAAATGTCCAAAAGTTAATTTGTCACTGGTTTGATAATTCATTGAACCTTGGGGGTTTTTTTCATCAGATTTTCTGAGAGTAGAGAGACCCACAAATCATGGTGCCAAAGTGCCAGTCCGTGGACAAAAATTGTGGTCAGTTCATGAAGGTGGTCCAGTTTCCCCCAAAAAAAATTATTGTGTTTATTTTAATTTCTTTAAAGTTGCGTTTCCTGTGCTAGTTTTGAGTTTTATCCCAAGAAATAGATTCCTTTTCTAAATTGCTATTTTTCTAGCAATATAAAAGTTGACCGAAAAATTGACCGAAAAAAAATCGGTCCATGTTTAGTTATTGAATTATTACTAAACAATTTCAAATTATTGACTGCCAGATTATAGTTCCGTTCTGGCGGGGTAGGCTGGTTCCCGCCCCACAATCAGTATCGATAATGTATGGACCGGGAGCCAGTCTGCTCACAAAGCAGATCTGTTTGTTCCCAAAACAGAAAACTTGTTTCAGAGGGTTGAAGGCTTCCAAAAATGAAAAAAGGGTTTTTTTGGTTGCATTTGAAAACTTCTGTTTAAATAGAAAAAAATATTGAATTCATCGAAGAGCACTGGAAAAGCAACTTTAAATTAGTGAATTTGAAGATGTGTATATCGTTATACTTTATTACCTTGTCTTATGGAAAACTAAATATCATTTTGCTGCTTATTTGTAATACATAATTATTTGCCCATTCATCATATCATGGACTTGTAATTAGACTGTGTATGAATGGTAGCTAAGCCATTAATACATAGAAAAATACCCTGGGAAAAACACCACAGGGTATGAAAAAAATGACTCATGTTGAGTTTTCTTGACTTGAGTCGTATGAAACAAAACAAACACTATCCTCTTCTGGAAAAACCCAGGTCCAACGTTGTTATTGTTCTCTAAATCTTCCCAGCAGGGAAGGGAAGAAACTGGAACATAAAACAGAGAGAGTTGGTCCCATGACAGCGTGTGGAATAGGAGGAAGTAGAAACTTCTAGTTAAACCGGAAATTCTGGGCCAGGATTTCAGGTTGTTGAGTGGTTCCACAGAGAGTATCAATATCAGGATCATTAGGTCGTAGAATATCGCTCCCCTCCTCTTGACAAGGGTTAAAGGGCTCATGGAGTGAATATTTCTTAAGAACATATTTTGTGCTACTTTCTTATCTTCTTAAGTGTATGAAAACTAATTGATATTCCTTTTTGGCTAATTTTGTTGAAAAGTGCACTTCTTTAAACATTTAAAAATTTGCCATGCTTTTCCGGATAAGGAGGGTGCTGTTGTCGTGATGTCATTTCAGGAAGACACTGTTCATATTAGGTGTTTTTCTGTTGAAATAGTGAACCCAAAAATGCTCATTGAAAAAAAACATTTGTGAGAAAAGTTTCCTCATTGGCTTACTGCCATGTTGCTGACACAACAACGAATCACTAATGAAAAGGAAGTTCACAACAGCGAAATATCCAAAATTTTGTCAACTTTTTGTGCATAAACTAATTGCAACATTGTGGTTTCTGCCTGATATGACGTCACACCTTTGCTCACAAATATGGAAATTCGCATGAGCATGAAAAAACAAAAAGGCACCAAAACACCCTTGAAAATGGCAAAATGAAAATTGAAAATAAGGTTAAAAGAACACAAAGGTGCATTTTCAAGGATTGCATTAAAAAAAATACATTTCATGGGTCCTTTAAATGTTTGCTGTCTGATGCAGATGTCCATACACGACCCATCTGAGAAAATATGGGCTAAATGCGAATGGGGAGAAAAAGTGGATTTTGACACCAGGGTTGTTTTATTGCTTCTGCTGAACACGGATGTTGTTGCTTCAGATTTCTATTCTATAAACACACTGCCAGCAGGTCATTTCGTTTAAACCCTGTACTAAAGCTGTGATTTATGTACAAACTTTTTTTCATAACACTAACAGGATATGTACACGGCCACAATTTCCCTGCTAAACAGTAAAATATGACTGTTATTGCAGAATTTGCTGTACAGCCATACATTGTGGCCTTGATGATACAGTGTGCCTAAATGACCTTCGTTATTTGCCATGTTATGACTTGCAACATGTTTATCCAAGTTCAGCTGTGTAGGCAATCAGTACGTACTTTCTTTTTTTTTCAAGCTGTTAATTCCTTTTCCAGATGTGGCATTTGTGCTGCAGGAACACACAAATGGTTTCATTTTTGCCAGCCTGCCTCAGTTTGCTGTTCATAATCATAGCTCGCTATATTTTTTTTCTTGTTTCACAATAATTTCCCAAGCCATACCAGGTACATGTATTGTGTTTGGACGAGTACAAATTTGAGGCACAATGGTCTTAATTGTCATAGATGTGAAAAGCCCATTTTATTTCACAGCTTCCAAATTCCAAAAGGATCAGAATCTTGAAACATACAAAGTTTAGAGTTAACATCTTGTAATTCCCCAAAAACCCAGCACCATATTTTGGTACAAAAAGAGTGAAAAAAAGTGTCAAAATGGAATTTTGAATATGAAGCACTAGTTTTGAAACAAACATTTACACTGAAAAAAAGGGGAACATTCATGGACATGTTCAAGGGTTTCTTGAATGCATGAACTAGAACACTGTGTTTTTCAAAAGCTTTAGCAAACAAAATATGAAGTTGCTATTTGAGAAGACAGTTTTGGGGTGTTTTTATCACACTGTCAACAGGTCAGCATGCTGCTGTAATATCCAAATCACTCTTTAAAAGAGAATGACCACAGATTCGAACAAGCGCAAGGCACACTTAAAAAATACTTAGTTTTTGGCCCCATTTCTATGTTGGTTACTTAGCTTATTCCATTCCAGTAGCTGAAACTGTCCAGTGTCACTTCTTTTTCGAATCTGGCGTCATATGAAATTTGGACTCCTGTGAAATCTACTTCCTTTTACCTTATATGGACTGTAACCCTAACACGTAACCTGCCACCTTCCAAAGTTATCGTCACTTTAGCGTGCACAGTACAACTAATGAGTCCGTACTAGAGTCCGAAATACACACATCTCTGGCCAAAGCGGTGAGCAAATGCAGTCTGAAAGAAATTTACAGCTTAATACTTGCTTTTGTGTCTTTGTTTTTTGACAGCAGTGAAACACTTCTTAGGTTTTTGTATTTTAGTCTTCCCAAAATTCCCGAATTGGGTAAGATATTTCCCAGCTGAGATGCATTTGAACCCACTTGTTCCAAGTGGTTGAACCGTCAAGAACTATTTACTTTTTCATCACCAGTGCCTTTGGACTTCTGAACAAAGGTGGCCTCAATTTTGTTAATGATTTCTACGAATGCCCGTTCAGTATTTGCCACATTAAAACAAACAAGAAAATCATGTTGCACCTTAATTAGTACAATTTACTATCCATACACATGGTATACAATATGACAAAGCATTTATTAAATTGAATAATAACCTTATGAGATGACTGTTAAGTGTTACTAATACAGTAATATATTTACAGCATGTAGTGATTTTTCTGGTATATCAGTTTAAATTACAAGTTGAATTAAGGAAATGTGTACACCCGTAATGACTTTTCATAAAAAATGTACATATCTTTATATTGGCACTGCCACCATTTGATAAACCCATATTGTACAAGTGAATGTAATTTACAACATTCGGGCAATTCCAGCGTCACAGACGTCAAAAATCAGACAATTTTTTTGTTATCTAAAAGCTCAGTGAATAAAACTGAAAATGTATTTTTCAAATCTTATACATCCATCATCTAGTAATGGTCAAGGAGATTACAGACTAGGAGTTTTGGATCGTTTCTCTGAATCATTATTTAGATATCGTGGATAATTGGTTCAGTCACAGACATCACTTTTTTTCCATACATGTAATACTGGAATTGCCCATGTGGACATTTATAATCAATAGAATGTACACAAAAATGTGACCCAAACCTCAATTTCAGTAAACCACTACTTTTTGTAAGTCTGTTCAAAACAGTTTAAAAATTGTATCCAACAATTGAATCATGATCTATATATCATTTTGGACAAGCTACGCATTTATCATTGAAGAGATTAATAAAAATTGATTGTCTGAGACAAGATACAACTTTCTGTGTGTTTTCTTTTAGAAAAAGAATGATTGTAATTATTGGCCCTCTAAACACAGTACTTATTCAAATATTAGGAAACAGTGCTGTTCACAAAATCAGCTGTATTCATAGACAAATAGAAACCTCGAGCAATGCTAAATGCAGCATATTAAAGTCACATTGTTCAGAAGACAAAACTATATATCTATATATACATATATTGCCAAATAATGTGTACCAAAAAAGTTTTACTTAAAATTGAAATTTGTTGCTAACTCTACAAAAAAAAAAGTCATGTTGGAGCAAAAAAGTAGTTTTTGAAAAAAAAAATGCACGGTGGGAAATGAGCTTATACATGTATGTGATACATTGACCACTTGAAGACAAAAAAATTTTTAGGCTGAAAAACACAATTTTTGAAAAAGACAATATATCAGCCCAATTTTAAAATCAAGACAAACGCCAAGAGTACTGACTCTTTGAGAGTCATTTGTACAATATTTGTACGATACATCTCATCCTAACTTCATATTTTGCAACACTCAAAAGCCTCGCCACGGAGCAATATTTGCTTCGATGACAGGCTGTGTACAGCGGCCAAATTCAAGTTCAAAACACAGTGTGTACAACACCACGTGAACCACTGACATGCATATGCGTCCACCGCTGGAGACTCAGGGAAAGCTTGACCATTTAACCTGACACCCGCCCCGAATATAATGTACATTGCCAGATCATGTTTACACGTCCTCTGGCGTTAACTGGTGAAGTAGGACCCATGTTGAGTTTTCTCTTCTACAGAGTGTCCCAGAAAATGAATCTTGAAATACAACAGCCATGCAACTGGGATGTCACAAAAACAAGAGGAAATTCAACTCTTTCCTGGAATCTGTACAGTGTTTTTCTATTTTTAATGGCACACATGGGAAGTTAAAAAAGGGAAATCAGCTGATCCGAGGAAAAGTTGCATGCCTGTGAATAAATGCACCAGAAAGAACAAGGAAACACTTGAATTTTCCTTTTAAAACTTTTTGATAGTTTTACAGCAGGGATGAGATGGGGGGGGGGAGGGAGTGGCAGAGGGTTTGAGGGTTGCCCAGAGCAACATAGGGTGTATGACATACACCTGTATTTACCTGAAGGCACCCCTTAAGATAACCTCCTTTTTTGTATATAAACTTTTATATAAACTTGTATATGTAAAAAAGCATCTTTACGCTAAACCTCAGGAATTCCAGATTTGAAAAGTGATCCTGTACAAATTCTGAAATCAGGAAAAATCATTACAAAAAATCCTGAAATCAGCAAAAATCATAACAAATCTCATTCGTTACAGTTTAAAATTAAAAATTTGCAGTATTTATCACTCAACTGAAATTAACGCTGTAGCAAGCATTTTACCTATGGATCAAATTTTAAATAACAGTTCACCCAAAAAACATCAGAACTAGCTCGGTTCTACTGTCTACTGGAAGTAAGAGTGACTGGGCTGTAACTTCCCCAATCCTTTAAAATCCTCTAAAACCTGGGTTACGGTGCCGGTTGATTTCACTCAAACACTCACAGCAAAGTGACATCGGGATCGTTTTCAACCATCAAGTCATACGCCGATCGGTGCATGGCTGAGCCGTCGCTTGACACTGCCCCCAGCGAGTTCAGGCTCGTCTTGTCATCATTCAAACTCTCCATGCTGGTGCTGCGCAGGCTACCCAGAGACCGCCGGCTACCGGACATGCTGTTCCGTCTCAGCATCTTCTTGAAGAACTTGGAGACGGGTGAGGTCTGGGCCACGGGGATGTTGGGGCAGAGCGGCGGCTTGGCGCGCTTGCCGGTCAGCTGTTGGTCAACCTGGGAGTTGACCAGCGGCTTCATGATCGGCAGCTGCTTGGACGGCGTCGACGGCCTGAAGTTGGCCAGACGTAACTCCTGCTCCACGTTGTTGTACGGCGAGCTCAGGATGTTCATGTTGGCCCTGATGTACGGGTTCATTTCCGGCGTATTAAGCCCACTCTTGGCGTTTCGGTCGGGCTTCGGGCTGCTCACGGGCGTCCGGTACTCATGCATGTTGGAATTCAAGTGAAATATATCCTTGACGTGTTCCTTCTTGGTGGGCGTGCGGTTGCAGTTCCCTAAAACATTCAGGGTCTTTTCCATCTGATTGGCCATGTTCAGGCGGATGGTCCCCATGTCAAACTTGGAGCCTTCCCTCGGCGTGTTCTCGGTGCTTGAGCCGCCCGAGCCGTCCAGATCCCGGGAGTCGTTGAGAATCCTGACAAACCTGCCGGTGGGATCAGGGGATATCGCTCTCAGGCCGTCGTCCTCAGGGGAAGACAGATTGTTGTTCAGTGCTTCTCTCTCCTTCTCCCTGTTTGCTATCAGGGCTGGGTGATTGTCAGGAGGCAGAGGGGTAGAGGTAGACACAGGTGGAGTAGATTGCAGTTCCTTCAAAAAAAAATACAAGGCAAACATTATGCATGCCTGCTTCTTGATTGGGGCACCCAAAAAAATATAATACACCTTGGAAATGAGACATCACACAAATAAATCAACCCACGTTGAATTCAATATTGGGTTTTCCCCTTCACTGACATATTTTATAAACACTGCTCAGTTTTTCTTATGAATAGTCTGGTTGCTGTACCCGCTGCTATATGAGATTCCAACCAGCCAGCCAACCCCAGCAAGCTCAGTGGCTGAGTGGTGAGACGTCTGCACTAGTAAGCAGGAGGTCGTGGGTTCGAGTCCCACCCGAGTAAGTTTTCTCCTAATCCCTCACGACAAACCCCGAGTATACATACAGTGTTTAAAAGATATCTTGCTAGTGACTGGCTGTGGCTGATCTTTGCACTGACATAAACTTTGTAATGGTATTTTTGAAACTATGGCTGTTGGACGGTCTGGTGATTATTTTTTTTCTTACCAGTTCAAATTCAGCAAAGTTGGCCGCCAATCTGCCCGTCTGTTTGGGAGACTGTGCGGAGGAAGATGGATAGCTGGGTTGGCTACGTTCCTCTGAAAATAAAAAAAAGGACAATAAGGCCAAATAAAAAAAAAACATGTTGAGCGTCCTTCCTGTTTGAAAAAAAGGAAGGAGGAGGCACATTTTTTTTTTTTTTTTTTTTTCAAAACGACCGGCCGGGCTATTTTTGAAGATGGCCGCCAGCTTTTTTTTTTTAAATGGCCGCCACTTGGACTCAGGAAATGACATACCAGCTTTATATGGGCTAGATGCAACAGAGAAGAAGCCAAAATGATGTCACTGTTTAAAGTTTATCATTTTTTCGGGTTTTTTTTTTTTTTTTTTTAAAAGGAAAAAAGGAGGTGGCCTCCAAAAAGGAAGCGGGCAGGGACGCTAAACAAGTTTTTTTTATTTCGCCTAATTCAGGAACAATAGTTTTTGTGCGTTAGGGTACAATGGCAGCCCAAAATGAACAGGTATTTTCAGAGGATTGACAGGAAGTATTCTTCTATTTAAATAAAACATGCAAAACATGCAAATTGAACATTTGTTACGAGAAATAATGGAATATATCTTGAAGAGCGAGGATAGATCAACTTTGAAGCTAATATTCTGCATCTTCTGCTGTTGCTGTAACAGCATGTCACATCCAGCTTTACCTGGCCTGGGGCTGGGGAGGGCTGCCTCTGCAGTCTGGCTTCGTCTGTGCTTCACCTTACTCTTCTGGTTCTGAGAAGATTTCTTGGGAGCTAAATAAAATACGGAGTTAGAAAAACAAACATGATGGATGTATTATGGCATTTAAATATTTTTCTGTGAAAAAAAAATAATACAACACAGTGCAGTGGCCAAGACCATATCATTCAATAAATTGTGCAGGCTTCATAAAAATTTCTTGGATACTGGACCCAAAATTTAAAAACAAGAAAGCTCGCTGCCCAAACCATACTGCCTGCTACTTCCTGTACCGCCCCAAACCGCCCCACTGAAGTTGGGACAGATGTTACAGTTGGTGCGTAATGGGTATGTACTAATGATGTGCAAACCCGACCCGAAACCGACTTCGGGTCAGGTCGGGTCGGTTTGTCCATCTTTTTAGTCAGGTCGGGTCGGTTTCGCCATCTTTTGAAAAACCAAAATAAACCGAAATAAGCCGAAACAGTTGAGAAATTTAGGTGATGCAATATTATTGACAGTCACTGTGACCGCAGCCCATTGTGTGGTGTGGCCACCGAGCGCACTACCAAGTTCCCATGGTATTAATTTCTCTAGTCAGATGGGGACTGACAGTGAAATAGATATATTGTAACAGTTTTCATGATACCATGTGATGATACCATGCGTTTGTTCAATAAGCAGAGTTACTCTCGATCAACCCACTGAGTATGACAGAGACAGAGACGATGGTTTTGCAAAAGAATTCATGCCACGTGGGTAATAGCAGGCACCCAAACAGTGATCACTTTGTCCAAGCCAGGTATTTGGTTTTTTTAGGTTTTTTTCGGGTCGGGTCGGTTCGGGACTGTTTTACCTTTTTTTTTGTCAGGTCGGGTCGGGTCGGTTTGAGGGAGTTAAGATCGGTTTTGGTTCGGATTCGGTTTATATCTTTAATGTTTCAGGTCGGTTTGGCCTGGTCAACCCGACCCGATGCACATCATTAGTATGTACTCACCAGGTTTGACATCAAGTACTACCACATTGGTAGCCATGACCAGGCTAATGATCTCTTCATGTGTTAACGTCTCAACGCTGACTCCATTCACCTGAAAATAAAGTATTCCTGGTTGGTCAGTGGTTATGGAAAAATTTAAGTCTCATTTTCAGCTCAAATTTTCCATGAAAAAGAACAACGCAGGCAAGTTTTGGGTTTTAAATTACACTATTTTAAAGGTCCTTTATTTCTAATTTTCTTTTTCATCATACAAACTTAGAATTGTAGACTTTTAGTAGCATCTTTTATTTTACCTTGTGGAAATATGGTTATGTACATGTATGTATGTTATGTTATGTATGTCAGTCTTCTCCAAGATATTTGGGTCCGGATTTAATGTTTTTTGTTTTAATTTTTTTAGTTTGTGTTATATATCCACATATATTTACTTGTTAGTTTTTTTATTCACTTTTAAACATGCATTTCAAGTGCTATTTTGGAGTTTCATCCCAAAAAATAGATTCCTTTTCTAAATTGCTTTTTTTTCTAGCAATACAAACATTATTTACTTTTGAGTGAGACATCGACCAAATTGGCCCATGTTCGGTTACTGAATTAATAATTTACAATTTAGAACTATTTTTGGGGGGCACAAACAGATCCGCTTTGCGAGCAGACTGGCCCCCGGTTCGTATATTATCCATACTGATTGCGGAGAGGGGTGGAGGACCAATCTATAGAACTATTGGCGGGGGTAGACTGATTTCCCCTTCCACCCCCCCCCCCCCAAAAAAAACCCACCCCCTCCAAAACCAGGAACCAGTCTGCTCGCACAGCGGATCTGTTTGTGCCCCCCAAAAAATCAGAGGTTGGCAGATGTCCAAAAATGGAGGTGTTTTGGTTGGAATAAAAAAACAGTTGAAAATGTATCAATTTAAAAAAAATTGAATTTGTTGAAGATCACGAGGAGCGCAACTTTCATTGTTGATTAGTCACTGTTTTATCGTATTCATTATTTAATTATAACCTTCATTTTTCCAATCCTCATTTAATATGTAAAGCACGAGACAGTTTTTGATGATTTTCTTGCAATAAAAATGTAGTGTCTGCTTATTTTTTAACATTATTTTGATTATTTGAAGCTACCTTGCTGATGAGCAGTCCCCTCTTGAGTCCAGCCCTGTAAGCAGGTGACATGGGGTCCACGTTGGCTACAGTCACATCCAATTCAAAGTCCACACCACTGCAATGGTTTGGAAAAAAACAAAAGTGATCAGACATTCTAACGCTATTTGTGTACTCCTGTTAAAACCTTAAAGTTACGGGGATTAAACGTCCCTTTTTCTAAAGGAAGGAGGAGGAACGTACACTATCATAGAAATCCGAATAGTGCTGCACTAAGGGAATATTCAGAGAGGCTGATAAGGCCACAAAAAAAAGTCTCCGGTTTCTGGTATGCGCGCGTCGCCGTAGCCATGCGCGTCGGCAAAATGAAAAAGTTTTTTTTTCAATGAAAGATGATGTCTCAAAACCGCCAAACTCACTGGTTTGACTGGAATCCTGCTGCTGCACAATTTTAACGTGTTTTTAGATTGGGTTATGGTCGAGAATAAGCTTTATGTGGCCTCTCTGGACTCCCATATAATTTGCACTAAGTTTAGTCGGGCACCATTTGCAGTCATCAGCCGACATTTGAAGCAAAAAAATCAGGTAAAAAAAAAAAAAAAGCTGCGTCGCCGCACCACTTTTTGGGCAAGCTCCATACCAGAAACCGGAGACTTTTTTTTTTTGGCCTAAGGGAGACAAAAGCGGAACGAAAAGAAAATGGGTGCAAGCAGTGCTGTGACTGTATTGCAAATGTTTTCTTTTCTTCAACCTCAATGTTACAGCTATTTCAGCACCAAAAGTTGCCAGAATTTTGGATATTTCTCTGTCCTAATTTTGTTCTCTTTGGGGAATCGTTTTTGTTGGCAGTAAGCCAATGAGTACACTTTTCTCACAAATGTTTTCAATAAGCAAATTTTTGGGTTCACAATTTGAACAGAAAACCCCTAAAACTGAACAGTGTCTTCCTGAATTGACATCACACCAACTGCGCCTTCAGTTCAGAAAAGCATGGAACACTTGAAATGTTTAAAGAAGTGCACTTTTCAATCCAATTAACCAAAAAGGGATGTCAAATAGTTTTTAAACATTTAAGAAGAGTAGAAAGTTGCTCAAAATATGTTCCTAAAAAAAATGCTCTTCATGTACCCTTTAACGGTTACCACTATGAACGACTCTAAAAACAAACATTTTTTTTTTAAAAAGGTTAGCAAATTTTGGACATTTTTGTTTGACTGCAGTTTTAAGTTTGGTTCTCCGAATCTTCCATTCTAGATTGCCAAGTGTGATTTCAACATATGGCTGATCTATCCGGAAATATTATACCGATAGGGGTTTCCCCTGGCTAAAACATATTCCCCTTAAGGCCTCTGGTAGAAAAAAAAAATGAAAATTGGCTCCAGTGGGGTTTAGTGGGCGGCCTGTAGTCACCCAACCGTGACTAACAAGTTGCCAGCAGACCAATGCAGGCAGGAAAACGGAAGGGGTCGGGGGGAAAATGAAAAATCCACGAAAAAAAGTTGGCAGAGGGTTTGAGGGTTTCCGGTGGCCCCAGAGCAACGTAGAGTCTATGGTATATGTTTGTATTTGTCTAACGGCACCCCTTACAATACCCATTCCTTTTGTAATTGTTCTATATCAACTTTTACTGGTAGAAACACCTTTACGGTAAATTTCAGATTTCAAAAGGATTCTTTAAAAAATCCTGAAATCAAGAAAACTTTTTGACAAAAAAATCCTGAAATCAGGGAATAATCCTGATTTCTCACCCATGGGAAAAGCAGAATTGAAAAAGGGGCATTACTCAAGGCGAAAGGGACCTACCGCCATGTGACAAGAATATTTAGTGCTTCAATGATGGCATATTTACTGTCAATGACAGGGTTTGTATGATGCCAAAAATAGAGCGTGCAAGTCTCACCTGTGCACGTTCACTTTTTCATGTGAACGTCTTGGTACCAAACACTGACTAGTCTAGTCACAGACTCCCGCGTTTGAATTTACCCACTTGTTATCCGCTTGTTCGATTGAGCCGAAGTTGAGGTCAACAATATGAATTTTATAACAGTCATCAATTTGCAATATTTTCAATATGTTGTAAATTGTAATGCCTTCTTTGCTTTCGAAATACCCATATGGAGCTGATTGTCTCATTTAGGGTGCCGCCAACGATGGGACAGAGATAGGTGTGTAGAATTCGATGCCGAGAATGCTGTATCATTTTTAAATCGCTGTATGCTGCTCATTTCAAGTACTCCGCACAATTTGTTCACTCGGTATCTGAAACTACAGTTATTCCAGATCATTTTGTGAGAGAATTGTTACAAACTGTGAAACTTTTGTGTTAGTACATGTATGCTTGAAGTTTGACTTGCATTTTTTAACCAAAATATGTGCAATGTTTATGGGTCTTAATCAAGCAAATCGCAACACTATTTTCCGCGCCGTGTCGTGACCCATTGAACCTCATTATACAATTAATGAATATTCAATTGATATTTGAATAAAAGCTCAATATGCAAATTTTATGTAAGTACATGGGCCTCGCAAAAGAGGTTCACCGTACCGAGTCGTTGGTCGCGTTTTGGGGACATCCCATTACCGTATTTGGCCATATGGACTGTTTCATTTCTTTGAAGGATTTATTTTAATAAATTAAACGGCCAACTCATTTTCACATGAGGTTTTACTTTGCATGCTCCACAATGTAAAAGCTTTGACAAGTTTTTCATAGTCATAGGGCCTGTTTTGTTAGGCCTAAGTATGCGTGCTGGAGCAGAGCTAATGCAATTCACCCGAGAGTAGAATGGAAGTGACCATCTGACGACACACGCACAGCGGATGCATGGAGTAACGTCGCTGAAACTAATGAAAGGTCGGGAAACACTCACATTTAGCGGAAATTGATGCACTTTCCTCGATGTCAATTAGGCCACACAAAAAAAATAGTTCTGCTTCCGATTACATGCCTTTCAAAAATAGGGTCGGTCGGTCGGAATTTTTTTTTTTTTGCCAATTTTTTTTATGCAGATTGAATGGGGTATTCAATTATATGCGAAGTTTTAGCCTGAACTATTTCTATTGCACTACGAAAGCTATACACGAAATGGCAACAAAAAGTGAGTTAAACCTACCTTTAATTATTGTCAATATATTTACGTTCGATAATTTCAAAAAATAATGGAAAATTCAGGCCGTTCGCACCATATGCACAACGCTAGTCAAGACGCGGGGAGCTGGCCAAAACTCCAAGGTGTGTGATGCGTGCGTGTGTGGCGAGCGGCCCACCATGGGCCGACAGACCTGTTTTTACGGTCAACAATTTCGGGAAACACGCGGCATGTATCACTCCAAATACGAGTAGTGCGATCTCAAAATGAACTCCTGAACACAGAAAATACATACACAGACAAGCTAGATCAATTCTGTAAATTAACTTGCAAAAATGTTCTTTCTCCATCGGTGTTTTCTTGGCATTTTTACGATGTCGAATCCGACCAGTTGACAGTGGCCTGCACTGTACTGATACTAGCGCGCTATCGGTCACATAACTAGCTATGGACTGGTTACCGCATTTTCATTATGTCTTCTAAATTGGCCCCTGCGCGGCACGGCGGGAACCAGTCGTCGCCACGTGATTATAGTCACCGTGCGTGACATCGAATTGCGAAGTAGTTATATCGCGAAGGGAATTTGTAATAACGGAGGTTTCTTTTGAAAAAAAGCAAATGTAAGTATGAAAACAAATAAATACAAGCATTTTTGGATGCAAAAGGGTTGTTGAGAGGTATTTTGTGAAGACAGAAAAGACAGATTTTATTTGTATTTATTCAATTTTTTTATTTTTTATTTTTTTGGGAATTGCCGATAAAATTTTTAGGGTCGCAGCCTAAAAATAGGGTCGGTCGGGTAACCGGAAGCAGAACTATTCTTTTTTTTGGCCTTAGCTCGCCGGCTTTCCAAGAAGGCTGCGTGGGTCTTATTTTACAAGTAAATTGTTTTGGAATATATGGATGTCTCAAATTTGTGTAAAAAATGGGTGGTTTCGACGCACGTTTTCGTCTGTTTAAATGCCAAATCCATTGACACGTTCTTACGTTGCCATGAATGCGCGCGTGATGTGCGTTTTGAAAGTCACTCCTGATTGGCTAAAAGTGCCTATCCAGGGTGAGCGCTGTACAAATAAATAGCCCCCTCTATCGGCTATCCCAAAGAAGGAAAGAACAAACAGTTCCATATGCATTTATTGCCCTTGATTGGATGGGCCCAGTCAGGACACAAAATGAATGCAAAAAAACAGGACGCTACACACATTGTAGATCTAGCTATACATGGTGCCTGGATGTGCCGTATTCTTGTAAAATCTCGCAGGTTTTTGAGGTCAACTTGCATGCTCTATTACCAACTAGGGGAGTGCCACACCCCTAGGAACCCCCTGGCAGCACCCGCAAGTTGGCGGGTCCTACTTGTTACTCTGACATACCCTCTGATACTGCAGCCCAACCAGCCATCCTCATCAGCGATGATGGTCACCTGTTTGACCTTTGACCCATCAGCCTCATCTTGGCTGTTGTCATGGCTACTGTTGCCATGCTTACTGCTGCTTGCGCTCTTGAGTGATTGGTGGCTGCTGGCTGATCTGGCACTGCTTATCTCACTCCTGGTGACAAATATGAGAAGGCATTTATTTTCAGTTTGCTGAGATTTGTATATCATAACTTAAAGGTAATTATACAACATTTGCAAACATCCAAAATCAAAACTACCAAATCATCATGAAATGCCTTGCTGGACTGTAAGGCCCCATGGATTAATTCCGATTTGCGTGCGCCCCCGTGCGCACGCGTGCGCATGCGGGCAAACTCGAACAAAGGAGATTTTGAACCCACTGGCACGCATCGGCACGCATCTGCCCGCATTGGCACGGACTTGCTCGCAGTGGCACGCAAACGGGCTCAGTGCCAGGCGGTACAACATTACAAACAAACCGCAGAAATGCACAATAGACATCGTCTTGGACTTTAGCCATTGTGTCCCTTAATCCGCTCATTAGTTGGTTGTAAACACTTGGCATGGCCAAGCATGACTCATCTACTCTGGTGGTACCAATAATTACTCGCATTCCAAAACGACAGGAAATGTTAACGAAATGTTAATGATAAAAGTGCCCAGGAAAGGACAGGAAATGCCCCAAACATTACCGCGTGAGCCGGTACTTTCATTTAAAACACCGTGTAAAATTTAAATCTACTTGAAAAATCGAACTGTCTTTATCATAACTTTATAAATAAAAATGGTACGGACTGGTACACTCGTACCCAGAAAGTGCAGACTTTTATTGAAACAGTGGTATGAAAAGAAATTATTAAAAGCTTGCCGCACCTTGCCGCAAAGAATTTTTAAAGGTCGGGGTACAGAAGCGAAATGAGAGAATTTTGTACAATGGCGAGACCTCATTGCAGCCAGACTGGTCTACAACCGCATGTTATTGTACGCTGATGGAAGTGGTGTCAGACTTACATGTAGTCTGGCTCGCGGTAACAGTAATAACGCATGCACGCATGTTCCGTATTGTGTGGAGCGGGATCGGCCATTGCCAGACTTTGTCTGGCACGCGGTGGTGGTATTTATAACAGGGATGATGCGTGGACACATATTCCGTGTGTTGCATTGTGCGGGGCAGGATCGGAACTATACTTTTGGTAGATTAAGTGGCAGGGTATTCTGCAATTGTGCCAAAAAAAATCAGGGCTGTGTGGATATCGGGGCGGGAGGTGACAAAAACCGGATTAACCAAATGGCCGGAAAGATTCCTATATCTGGCCATCACTTGTCACCCTGTGCACAAACCCTACAGGACTGCAGGTCTGAAAATGTTTAAGTGTTTTCTCAATTCAAAACTTGTCCCTGCAAATTTTGATTTTTTAGGACATAGTATCACTTTCTGACGGCTGATAGGTCATTTAAGGGAAATATTACTGATGGCCATATTTGGCTCTAGAAGTTGTTGGAAATTTCAGCATCAAGTTTCGTGGAATCTGATGCATCACTTCACTTTTTGGGGCCCAAAAGCAAAACTTCACTAATATGCTTATTGAATAGCACTAAGTGCCCACCACCAATTTTTTTTTTTTTTGAAAAACTTGTTCAGTTCACCAAAAGAATCATATTGCTCAACTTCACTAGTTCAGTTCGTTTACAATACAGTGCAGCTGTAAATACAGTAGTTTGTGTACAACATTCTTTTGTACAGGAGGCATCTTTATTGTCCATAAATATTCTCTAGTTCGGCATCGGCCTCATTGAGCTCAGAATTAATCCACGGGGCCTAAGTGAATAAAAGTGTCAATCATCCTGTGAAATCATGGCACCTGGTGTGCTGTCATTTTCAAGAAAAGTGGTATTTTTTAATTTTCAATGATGGTCGGCCAACCATTGTTGGAAAAAATTGACTTTCTTCAAATACATGCACTGCCCCCAATTTACCAAATCTAGTTAGTCCACACTTTGATTGCAATTGGTTACATATCCATAACGGGTGCATGCCGGCTAGTCTGTTCCCTGACCTGACGATTTCCTAACGTCTATAAATTCCTCTATTATCTGAAGTTGGGTCAGGGAACCAGACTTACATGAAGAGCATTTTTTTCTTGGTTTTTCCAGCATCTATAAACACAACACTTTATATTTGCTATTAAAATACTAACTCCAAAATCCATCCATTTTGAAAATTACAGCAAAAGCAGTGTTGTATATTACCTTTAAAACAATTTTTTTTCTTCAATCTTCTCCATACTAAACGACTTTGTTCAAAATAGTTTTCACAGTGAAAATCTATACTTTAAACATTTTTGTTGGTTGCTTTATCGAATTCCATTTAATTGGTTGCTTTAAATACAGTTTATAATATTCTTCTGTACATGTGGCCCAGAAACCAGTGTGAATAAGACATATCAAACGCAGTTGTGCTGCAAGTTGGAACAAGTTGGACATTTTAAAATCTTGAATCCTTCATCTGTGTCAAATAAAAATTCACTTTCACCTGAAATATGAACTCATCTTTTGAAAATCAAGTCCTTTGAGGTTAAGAAAAATATGGTGTTATCTGCTATTCTGCAAAAACTTACAGTGCCTCTAAAAAAAACAGAATGTTTCCAAATTTACAATTAACCTGTCTTTTGACACCAACTATCAGAAATTTTAGCTTTTGTCAAGTGCTTTACAGAATGTTTATGGAATATCTTAGTATATAGTTACCTTATTGTTCATATTCTATTTACCTTGGAGTGCCGTTTGGTGTGGATCCTGGCATGGTGCCAACTGGTGCCACGTAGAGTATCAGCCGGCGCGCCGACTTGAGCGCCACCACAGCCTGGGCATGGGTGATGCTCTTGAATGGCGTGTCGTTGACCTTTAGAATCCGTTCCCCCACCTTCAATCCCTGTGAGGTGAACGTGAAAACAAATTTAATAGTGACTTTGTGATTGAGGTACCAGCTTAGTGCTTCTACATCAGATTCAAACCAGCTAGCTGACTTTGGTGAGCTCCTTCAAGCGGTAAGCTGTCTGCAGTAATTGTGATGGGTTTGAGTTCCACCTGAGATAATTAATGAATTCTTCTCTCACAAGTCTCATCAGCACCAAGTCTTAATAAAAGTGCTGACAAAACTTATCTTGGTGAAAGACAAAACAATAAATAGGTGTCTCTTAAATTAAAGGGAGTCAGGTTGGCGTAGCGGTACTTTCCTCGCCTTCCACCGCTGTGACCCGGGTTCGATTCCTGCCCTGGCCAATATGTGGATTGGGTTTTCAGTCCCTGCCTGATTCCGTGGGTTTTCCCCAGAATATTCTTCTGGGCTTTTCCTCCCACCTCTAAAACTGTGATTTCTTCTCATTCACTTCTCTCTACAGGTTTCTTCAGGCTTTCGAGCTTACAAAGCCTTGGGGGTACTATTTGGTGAGTCCTTGGTTTCAGTACCAGAAGTAATAAATAAAAAAATACAATAAATAATAATAAGTCACTGCCTACAGTTTGTAAATACCAAATTAACATAAGTCTGTTGAAGCAACAAGCCGGCTTGTGCATGCTGAGAAATTGTGAAGCTTTTGCTTTTTTTCCTCAGAAACAAGGACAACAATAAGTGTCTTACATGTCTCTCTGCCTGGCCACCAGGATCCACTGTGGAGACATAGATGCCAGCATTCAGGTCCTTGCCTCCCCGAATGCTGAAGCCTAGGGTCTCCTTCTCTCGGTGCGTCAGCTTGATCTTCCTGATCTGGATGGGCGGGGCAGAGGCAGAGGAGGAGGTGGAGGAGGGTGGGGCCTTGGGCGTGGTTCTCACACTGCTGCCTTGTTGCTGCTCACTGCTGGTGTTCAGGGCGAGGGGTGGAACCTGGAGCAAAATAAGGAGAGTTTGGCTTTGAAGAATTTAACAAAAACCTTTGGACTTGGAACATTACGAATATCATCTGTGGAAGCGGGAGAAATGTATGCTTTGGAAACTGGAATGTTCCCACATCTGAACCTATGCATGCAAGTTCACAAGAAACTACTCCAGTTATGAACACACTAGGGAATATTGTATATATCAATTAAAAAGAACTTCTTTTATTCAAAGAGATAAAGTGGCAAGGACGGAGGGAGTGGGGTTGTTACAGGGGGATTAAGGCCAGTACCCCCCCCCCACCTCCAACCCTTGTTCTCCCTCCCCCATCCCCAATCAAAATTTTGAGAAGAAGCTTTTTGCTGAATAATATGAGTCTACGACCAAACTCACTGAGTGCCACCGCCAGAAACTGCAGAACCCCCCAGTACCATCTTGCAGGGACAACCTCAAATGCAAAAGGACTATTTTCAATATATAAATAGGCCATCACAAATATTTTCCAAACTTTGGTTTATTCCATGGTTTTCAGAAATAAAGGGACAAAATGCAGTTGCAGATCAACAAAAAAAGAATAAAACCAAAAATTAATAATCATAAAAACAGCTACACTGTTCTAAAGCAACCTTTTTTCCAATTTTACTTTTACAGATATAACACCTCATAAACCATCTTACCTCAGGTTGATTTCTTCTAAGGTCAACATCCATCGTTCGACTCCGTTTGTGTTCCTTCCTCCCTTCAGAAGACCTGGAGCTGTCCCTTCGCATCCTGACGAAGTCAGCTCTCTTGGACGGACTGTTGTCAGTTCGTCGCACTTCCTTCTGGTGGGCCGTCGACACAGCCTTGCTCCTGGCCTCCAGGCCCATGACTGCTCGGATCTGCTCCACGGGCAGGAGCACCTTAGCAGAGGACTTGCGCTTTGGTCTCCCGGCTCCGTGCCTGGCTGTCCCCCTGATGACCTCCGGAGATCTCTGCTTCTGGATCTGGGATTGATAGCCCTTGAAGCAGGGTCACAACGATTATTTAGTTTAATCTTGATTGACTGAGTTATATTTTCGATTAGATTTAAACAAACTTTTTGAAACTGAAATCTTCCTTTCAGATAATCTTCCTGTTAGAAGGCTTAAAGGCATGTCCAAAAACTATCTCTAGCCCAAAACAAATCCCTCAAATATTCCACACATACAAAATTCTTTCAAACGCATGTGGGAAGAACACACAGACATACGTACTTGCTGAATGTTGAGACAAATAATATGAAAAGTTATCAATAGAAAGGAGGCTGACAAGCATTGTACGGATGCGGTCTTATTGAAATTATATTTCAGCAAGCTGTTGGCAGTCTGTCACCTTATAATTAAATGAAACATGGACCACAAATTCTACTTTTTCTGAAAATGAAATTTGTTATGGGAGCAAATTTATCAAAAAGCATTCTGGTGCTTAAAAGAATTGTGACGTGCCATGCCAAACGAGTTTGCTGGGTTTGGCTGGCTGGTTGGAGCCTGATGTAGCAGTGGGTACCGTAACCAAACTTTTTATAAGATTGAATTTGCGTCCGGCCGGGAAAAATGTAAATTTAATATTAGGTTTTGCCCTTCGCTGACATATTTTACAAACAGTGTATACTCAGTATTGTCGGAGGGTGTGCGAGAAACAAAGTCACAAGCTTGCTTAGGTGCGATTTGACACTCGATCCCAAGACCTTCTGCTTTAAAAGTGCAGATGCCTTACCACTCATCCACCGAGTTTGCTGGAGTCCGCTTGCCAATTCAAGTCTGATATACATAGACGTGGGTACCGTAACCAAACTTTTTATACCATGGAATTTACGAATTATGGGAGATGTTCGTTTTATATTGGGTTTTTGCACTTCGCCGAAGTAAGGAATCGATTAATCAATTAAAACAAATCACCATAAAGCCCTTACTTGGAAGTTCAGACAGCAGAGGTGATCAAAGTCCAGCCTCAGATCTTCGGGGATCATCGGGAAGATGGCCTCAAGGAGACAGGTCTTCTCCTGGGTGTTCAGGAGGCTTCTCAGGGTGGTGCAGAGCACCAGGACGGACTTGGTCTGTCGGAAAGACTGGATGGCTTGCTTGAGGGCAGCGCACTCTCTCTCATTGAGATGCCTGTGCGCTAAGGTGCGCAGGTGCTGACCGGCGCTGGTCATACCGGACGGAATCCAGAGAAACTCTTAGACAAGTCTGTATCAAACTCACAGATGATTCGGCAGTGTTTTTTTGTGTGCAGATAATCTGATGATTCAAAATAAGGAGAATAGATTTCAGGCAAAAAAACAAAAAAAGATTTCAACATTTTAGTGTGATATTCTTACAGTTCATCTTACCTGTTATGCAATGTTTTCAAGCTTGGATGCATGGTGCAACAAATGTTCACTGCACAATTTAACCTAATTCACTTATGGCCAATGGATGATAAAAAAAAAAAGTAATGTGGATGTCTTTTAAGAGTGTGGTCCAATTAGTGGTTGGATTTAAATCCGGATTTTTTAAAATTTGGTCTGAATTCAATTATTGTTTTGATTTTTGAAACCAGATATTCGAACCAACCTCTTAAAATTTCTCACACCACGGCACTAGTACCATCGCCCCTGCACATCCCCCCCCCCCCACTAAATATCAAGCATTCGTAGCACTAACTTGATGATAATTAGGTCTAATTCAGATCAAATTTCAAACCTTCTATTCTCAGCAATTGAATGGAATAAGCGAAAACAGGCTTACAAAGAAACATTTAATTATTTACAGCTGAAAAAAAAATATCCATCACTATGCCTGGAATTAAACACTTCAATGCCCATTCAACAAATGCTAGTATTTCACCGGCACAACACATCCAGAACCATCCGGCCGCATTTTATGCCGCATTTCGTCATTTCATCCCTTCCAACCGGAATCTATTGTTACAAGTGAATGGTAACCTTGGTAACAGATGGAGTTCTGACAGCTGCTGTCATTGTCATGCAAATGAGTCAACATCGAGCACCCGGAAACAGTTAATGATATTCAAAATTGAAAGGGCCCTGCTACATGTATAACAGTTTATGAATTTAATATGTGTTTAATGAAACGTGAGCTTAAAATGTTTAATCCTCGTTGACAACAAGTAAAGCCAAAAAAAAAATACTTCTGCTTCCGATCACATGGCATTTGAATATAGTGTACGTAGGTAGGTAGGGACATCTTTTTGGGGGGCGGGGACATATTTTTGGGGGGCGGGGGCATTTTTTGTTGTTGATCATATGTAGGTGTCTGCGTGTAGTCAAGGGTAAAAGGTAGTAATTGATGATTTGGGGCTTTTCCTCTCATTTTTCTCCAAAAAAAATAGGGTAGGTGCTATCAAAATAGGGTAGGTAGGGTAACCGGAAGCAGAACTATTTTTTTTTGTGCCTAATGTGACTTATGTAGCAAGGCTATACATATCGAGGAAGGCTTTTTAGTTTGCAAGGTCAATAAAAATGAGATGACAATGTCACATTGAATTGTCAACATACTGTTCAGAATAAGCTTAATAAGGCTGGCCGTGCATACTCAGCGCGAAAGTGAAAGTGAATGCAGTAAGTTTTAGCGCAGCAAAAGAATGCAGCAAATTCCGCATTTCAATTTTTTCAGCAAAGGTTTTGAGACGCAAAATTTGCTCCGTACATTCTACCTTCACTGTACATCTACAGGGGGCATGAAAGATATCAAATTATTGGATTCTCCAAAAAAAAAAAAATTCTGTTCACTGCAGTTTGCATTGAATAACCATCAGTGGCAAGGTAACGTTTGGAAAAAAATAACAACACATGAACTACAAATCTGGTGTCCAGATTTTTCCTACTGAGTTCTTTTATTTAAAAAATTCTTACAGAAGACTATCTTGAAGGCAAAAATCCTGTTCTCATTTTTTTTTAATCCTGGCTGGAGTTACCCAGCCCTAATTTTTTTCATTGGGTTGTCATGAAAAAATTTAGGGCTGGGTAACTCCAGCTATTTTAATCCCACAAATAACAAAAAGAATTCTCTCCCCACCCCATTTTTTATTTAAAAAAATAATCCATGCAGACAAAAACATGTTCATAATATTTCAGTTTTTTCATGGAAAAAATGTTGGGAAACAATGTTGCAACCTTACCCCTACAACCTTGGGTATTACACGTAATAGTAAGACCAACAGTTCTAGGGGTATTGCAACCTGACGCCACTTTTTTCTTCATCTCATTCTCAATGAAGGTCATTCATTGCAAAATGATGATAAGACATGAATCTGGGACTGAGAAACATTTCCAATTTTGTAAGGAAATACTTAGAAAATGTGTACACAACTGCGGAAGTGGCGTCAGGTTGCATCTAGCTGGAGTTACCCAGCCCTGAGTTTTATCATTGGGTTGTCTATTAGGGCTGGAGCGAATTTTTCTCGTAACTTGTAGTATAGGCAAAAAATTTTGGAAAATGTTCAATTTTGTCCCCGTTACACACTAATTGCAACTGCAACTCACCCCAAACTTGCCTGGAATAACCATTACACAGGTCCTTGAAGTAAAAAACGATCCACGATGAAGATTCAGCCTACAATTGCAGTGAAAACAGGAGGAATAACCGCTAACTTGACAACTTGCTGGATTGGCCAGGACCGCAATTGGTTTGTGCACAAAAAAATGTGTGTACAATGAATGGCGGTCGATTAACAGGCACAGAGAGCGATCGCTGTCAACTACTCGTTTTTGCCGGCTGCGCTGGCTGTTGGCGCATGACGTCACGCGGAAGCGTAACACCCGATGACTGTTTCATGCACTATTGGTTGCGGTTCCAGTACCAAAGCTGTGATGCGAGTGGTAAACCTTATATTAGTGCATGAAACAATCATCGGGTGTTACGCTTCCGCGTGACGTCATGCGCCAACAGCCAGCGCAGCCGGCAAAAACGAGTAGTTGACAGCGATCGCTCTCTGTGCCTGTTAATCGACCGCCATTCATTGTACACAATTTGTTTTGTGCACAAACCAATTGCGGTCCTGGCCAATCCAGCAAGGTTGTCAAGTTAGCGGTTATTCCTCCTGTTTTCACTGCAATTGTAGGCTGAATCTTCATCGTGGATCGTTTTTTACTTCAAGGACCTGTGTAATGGTTATTCCAGGCAAGTTTGGGGTGAGTTGCAGTTGCAATTAGTGTGTAACGCCACGGGGACAAAATTGAACATTTTCCAAAAAAATTTGCCTATACTACAAGTTACGAGAAAAATTCGCTCCAGCCCTAATAGACAACCCAATGATAAAACTCAGGGCTGGGTAACTCCAGCTAGGTTGCATCATATTTTTCCACCGTTTAAATGCCCTGGCATAAAATAATGTAGTGGTTTGGTTGGATAGAACAGCAGTTGGTCTACATGTTGCATCATATTTTTCCACCGTTTAAATGCCCTGGCATAAAATAATGTAGTGGTTTGGTTGGATAGAACAGCAGTTGGTATACATGTCAATGTCATGCATACAGTACATGCCTTTCCGTACTTGACCGTACGGAATCACGCAAACTCGATCGACCTGCTGATTCCAAAACACAAAATCGTACTGCCTCTTTCCAAACATGCCCTCTCAATAGCTAAATCGTAGCGAGTAATTCACCAAAACTGGTGCCAGGAACGTAGTCCACATAATATTCATCAATACATGTAGTTTTTATCACAAAATAGAACCTGCATCCGAACAAAAACGAACATTTTTGTACTCACCTGAGCACAACAGGTGCTACTTTCACTTGTTTGTGGACGGAATGTAGGTTACATCCGGGCACTTTGGCAAAGCACCGAAGCGTTAAAAGCGGAGGCGTGATTGGTCAGTCTGTTGAGAGGCAAGATGCCATTGGTTACCAATGACACCAATCAATTATTGAAGTTCGGGCAACAACAAACTTTGTATTTCCAGCTACCGTGTTACGCAGTGAAGCGTTTGAAGGCGTGGTGCAGGTGACATGTGTGAGTCATCTGTAGAAGTCATTTATTCATGGGAAGATACAACATTTGCAAACATCACAAAACGAAATGATCGAATTATCACGAAATACCTTACTGGACTGTTAGGTAATGACAGTCTAAAACATTCTGTAAAATCGTGGCTCCTGGTGTGCTGTCATTTTCAAGAAAAATGGGATTTCTCCAACGCTGGTCGGCCGACCAGCGTTGGAGAAAACTGGCTTTTTTCAAAGAGTGCTCCTAATTTTTCATAATTAGCTATTCCGCGTTTTCTTTGCAATTGATTACACACCTGTGAAGGGGTACAAGCCTGCTAGACTGATTCTCTGACCTTACGATTCCGCAAAGTTTATAAATTGCTCTGTTTCATCTTAAGTGGGGTCAGGGAACCAGACTACAAGAACATGATTGGTTTTCTTGGTTTTTCCAGCATCTACAAGCCCAAATCGTGAAACAAGTCATTTTAACAATATTTGCTATAACATACTAATCCTCCAAATCCATTTATTTCTGAAAATTGCAGCAAAAGCAAATGTTGTACATTCCCTTTAAGACGGAAAAAATGAAGGTTTTTGAGCAGCAGAAAAAGGCGAGAAATATAACGGAGGTTAAGCAATGGTGCAGACGAATCAGGGCACGTGATCAAAGTACATTCACGAGAACCCCTTTTATGGCGAAAACCACACATTGCCGACAGTCGCGCGAAATTCTAAAAAGGGCAGTCGTAAATGACTGCTGGCAAAAAAGGGGCACTTGTTTGAAAAAAGGGCACTCTTTACAAATATTGCATGGGGGGGGGGGAACGCTGGTGAAACGAGGACACTAAGCTTGAATGAAAAAGGGCAGTCCTTTCATAATATTGGGGTGTGTATATACCCTTTAGGCCCCCCCCCCCCTAAATATCCATAATATTTCCATGGAAATGATTTGAGAAATTTCCCTAAACTTTGGGGAAATATTTTTTGTTCTTAAAGTTGCGTTCCCCTGTGGTATTTTCGAGTTTCATCCCGAAAAAGTATTCCTTTTTCTCAATTGCTATTTTTACAAAAGTTAATCACGTTTGAATGTGACATAGACCTAGACCAAAATCGGCCCATGTTTAGTTACTTTACAATTTCGAAATGACCTTCCAGATAATTCGTCATTGAGCATTGTTTTGTACAATGTCAAGCACAATGTTTTCACGAATCTGCTCAAAGACGGATTACTGCTCAATGACGGATTATCTGAACAATATCTAGGTGACAAAGCTTTGGCCATTGAAGGCCAGAAGCGGTGTAGCAAGGTCATTTTAAGTTGCGGGTAAAAAAGTTCGTGAAAAGAGGAATGGCATATCCGTGCTGAAATGTGTGCAGTTTTTTTCTCCGGACACCTGTACTTGGCCTCCGTAAAATCAAAAAGTGTGTGTGTGTGTGCGTAGGGTGGTGGGAGGGGGGGGGGGTGTTACCATCTTCCGATGGGGGCGCTGTTCAAACCGGACGGTCATGCACACTATATCGGACACTAAGCTTTTCAGGGCGGCGGTCGCGCAAAATTCGGCCAGTTTGGTAGGGTATCAAATGAGGGGAATATTTGTCATTGTGATTTTTATGCAAGGTATGTAAAAGTTAACTTCTTGCCCGTTTTTCCATTGTTTTATATTATTTTGTGTACTGTGTCCTTTTGTTTGAAGAAATGGGCTTCAAAGGAAAATCTGTTTTTAAGAAAAGGTCACAGAAAACTAAAAGCTTTTTCCTCAATGTCCCAAAGTAATTACTCTCGAGTGCCACAGCTGAAATTTGACAGATTTTTAAAGAGACGAATTCGGTCAAGTTCAATTTTTTTTTACTCTCATTTAAAAAATATTATGAAGAAATAATTCGGAAATCAAATGAAAGTATGTCATAACATAATTTTGGGGACTGTCCTTATCGCAAATATAGTGATGCTATCAATGAATATTATTTTCATAAACAGGCCGGCATTATTTATTATGATCAAGGTTGAAACACTAGTTCATGCCACGTAACCCACTTCAGATGTTAGTGAGAAATACCATCTGGTTGATAAAGTTACACTATAACAAAATATCATGTGCGCATTCAAATTATGGTATTATCGAGTGAGTTTTCTTGCAGCACACCTCGGGATTACCTCAGGTTTCACAATGTTTCGGAATCCCCCAATTTCATCTTGGTATCTGCTTTATTCGACCAGCATCTTGCGTTTGCTGAAAACATACGTCATCGTTGTAATGCTCACCGACGGCTGTTCCTCCCAACAACTCGAGGAAAGCACGCCTCCCCCGGAGTTCCAAGAGCCGGGTTGTGAGTTCCAGGGTGTGTTCTACGATGTTGGTAGCTTGGTGGAAGGATACGACCCGTGCAGGTGTGTCTGAGTTTTTGTGTGTTTTTAGCCTTCGGAAAGCAGCCCATAACAAATCCTCGTGTCTATATCAGTTTGTTGGTTGGTTTGTTAGTTAGTAACAAACGTCATCACCAGCCTTGCATGGCTACAATCACCTCGTCCATCAGACCCTAAATGGGTCTCCACTGACCACCTACTAATTTACGCAGTCCTGGAAAATTGGGTCAGCGTAAAAAAAAAAAACCTGACGTTTGTACTGAAAACAATACTCCTTCCAGAAATTACATGGCACATCACGTCACACTTGCATCAACACAAATGCATTTGCCCGCAGCTTTCGAGATCATTTCGAGCTTGTTTAATGTGTTTGTTTGGTAGGTTGTTTTGCTTTGGTTAAAAAATTGCAGTTTATTTATGTTGTGAATTTGTATGTTCTTGGTTTTCATTTAGGTTCTTTTCTGGTCCAAGAGAGGGCCTGCCTACGGCCCTCTTTGCACCTCGCTGACTCACTGACTCACTGTCACCCATGAGCCTGGCAGTGCTATCGTATAGGATTACCCCATAGCGCTAATAATTGGGCTAAATCAGTTCATAGTGTATTCACACATGCATGAAAAGACTTCCAGTGAATATCCACTCTGAATCAATTGGATAGAATTTTGTGGCTGTGGGACCAGGTTTACTAGGCTTACCTGGGTGAAATCGTCGGTCCAGTTTTGGTGGTCTTGGTTGTCTTGGTTGTTATATCAGTCAATACGGGCGTGGATCCAGAGGTTGGGGTTGTGGGTGTCGACCCCCCCCCCCCCCCCCCCCCCGCTATGACCCCCCCCCCCCCAAGAAAATACAACAATTGTAGTAATTAAGTAAGATTTGAGGCTTTGCATGGTGGAGATACTAAATAATGAAAGGTTTGCGGACACACCATGTGCGAATAATTTCTCAACTAAGAGAATGGTTCTGAAAAGAACCAGAGGTATAACTCGACGATCCGGTCAGTATGCTCTGACCTCACCTGAAGACATCACCTGAAGACGGTCAGAGCATACTGACCGGAACGTCGAGTTATACCTCTGGTTCTTTTCAGAACCATTCTCTTAGTTGATAAATTATTCGCACATGGTGTTTCCGCAAACCTTTCATTATTTAGTTGTAGTAATAATAATTACCAGTCCGCCTGTCCGCAACAATCGGACATTTGTTTTTAGGCGCCTGACCCCCCCCCCCCCCATCCGCCCCTGACTACATTCTCAGCGGATGTTGTTTCCTTCTTGTTTTTTAGTGATCAAGTTCAAAACTAGCCCTTGCTGTTCGGTATTTTTGTCTTGATTTGTATGTGAGCGTACCTATCTTCTGGGTTGCACAGGGAGCAGTGCGAGTGTCGCCTCCAAGATGGGGAGTCCGTAGGCGGCCAGCCTGATATCGTCTGCCCCGTGGCCAGGGTCTGCCAGAACCGCCCCGATGAATGCCCCGTCGGTGCTTCCACACTCTGGACATTTTGCAAGTGCCCGTTTTGTTACAAAGGTATCGCTGTGATGGGGTCGCGATTGTTTGGGATATTTGGGTTTCTTTTCTTTGTCATTGGAATTATATGATTGGAGGTTTTTTTTGGTGGCGGTGGTGGTGGGGGGGGGGTTGAGGGGGGGGGTGGTCACGGGTCAACTACCATATCCATTTCTGAATCAAGTCGGATCGTGGGCAGCATTATTCCTTATAAGGCGCAAGTACGGTAACCGTATAAAATCCAGTATAACTCAGGTCAAAAAATATGATTTGTATATTTCGGGTCAGTCTGATTCACCTAGGCCTATAGGTAGCAATTTGCAGGAGTGTTGATTTATATAATTAATACATCTATTATCTTCATTGTTGATGTCTGTAAAACATCTCAAAACAACACTAGTGTGCATGTTCTCACTAAACTTCTCCTATATAGTTGTACTCTCTACCATTTAATCACATTCAACTTAAATCCATTCTAGATGCCCTCAAATTGTTTTATTATTTCTTGTCTTAAAAGGCGTGGGATAATTTTATTTTACCTAGCTCAGTCTGTATTTCCCTTTACATCTCTCTCTTTCATTATTCCTTTAAATCTTAAAATGTTCTTTGAATAAAGAAACTAATACCACTTCGTTGCCTTCAACACCCCCCCCCCCCCAACGCCTGCAGACCCGTTAATTATACACACATACACCACGCCTCCGACTTATAACTACCAGTACCATCCTGTTGCCCTGGCAACCCACCGCATCACCGTCCACATCGAGGCGACCAACGACGCCTATCTCGCCTTCTCAGCCGAGCCGCGAGATCTCCCGAACATGTACGAGATTGTGCTGGGCGGCTGGCAGAACAAGTACAGCGTGTTGCGGCGGTGCAAGCAGTGCCGGGTCCTCGCGTGGGCCACGACCAACGGTGAGTATAGAGAGAATGCACAGGGCGCCCTCACTGTGGATATATTCTTCATTAAATAGTAGACACTTAAACCTGTCGACAGTGAGGGCGCCCGGTTGAAGCGTAGAGCAAGGAACAGAAGCTCTATATATTGGCCCGGCCAGCCAATGTTCTTGGTCAAATAATCTCACCTCCCCCCCCCCCCCAAAAAAAAATAATAATAAAAGTAATCCTGCTATGACTATGAGCAAAATGGAATATTTCGGTGGAATATTTTAAATTAAATTTTCTTTTTTTAAATGGCATGTGAGAATTAATGGTTAACTATAACGCGCTTGTCATATAATATACAACTTAAGTGAAACTCATGCGTGGTGCATTTAATGACGTGACACGTTGCAATCCAAATGACTGAAATATATCAATTTTAGCCTTGGGCTACACCTTTTCCATACTAGAGCGCAAACCTCCGCCAAGGCTAAACAATTCCCCGCCATATTGTCAGTACACCCAAAAGAAATACTTGCATAATGGTGAAGAATCCTTTAAAAAATCCTGGATCCAGACCCAGATCCGGATTACTATCCTTTTTGTATTTGTACCAAGGACCACCCCTAAAACATTTTTCATGCAAATCCGTCAATAATTTTTTGAGTTATCTTGTTAACAGATAACCAAATCCGATGAAAACATAACCGCCTTGGCGGACGTAGTGGTAGTGCGTCGAGCACGATGGAGGCCAGGGGAAAGGTAACCAACGGTTGGTTAAAATTAGTCATTTTACCCAACGTTGATCAAATTTAACAAAATTTAACCAACGTTGGGTAAGTTAAACTATGTTGATCAACCGTTGGTTACCAGGTGAACAACCCAACAGTTAGTTAACAAGTTGTTTAAAATGAACACATTTTACCTAACGTTGGCCGGGTAAAATGTACCCTACATTGGTCAAATTGGACAAATTTACACAATGTTGGTTACAAAATTAACCAACTTTAACCAGCCAAATTTTAACCAATGGTTTGAGAGCGTTGAATACAGTTTGGTATCAGTGATAATGAGCGTAAAGTTTAATTATGTGAATATGGTTGGGTTTTTTTCGTACAACGAAACGTGATTTAGCATATAAAATTTTAGGAAGAGTACCGTGCTTTTGCGCAAAATTTTGAGACATTGAAAATTGTCTCGCCTTAAATTTTAGGCATTGGATATTTGATCAAAATAAAAAAAAATTTGGACTTGTTTGAAATATTCAGTCCAAATAAAATCTCTTGCATCATGCCAATTATCATCATTTTTTTAAAATAAACTTTAATAGTCGTATGTCCTCCAGCAATTTAATCTAACGGATGTGGTGATATCACTACTTCAAACTTTTCTATTCTTTTTAAAACAATCGTCATTATATTAACATTGATTTTCCCCTCTCTTTTTCAGACATCCTCCCTAACAAGAACGCTCAGTCCTTCTGGGTGCGCTTCGATGAGGGCGTGGTTGCGGTCGGCCTGACGGGTTTCCCGTCCTTTCTCCAGTATCATGACCCGGACCCGCTCCCCGTGCGTTACGTTGGGTTCGCAACCAGACTAGGAAGCGCGGGAAATTTCCGCTTGTTTGATTTAGGTGAGAAAGTTTTATTGGAATTCACCAAAATTAAATGTTGGTAAAAGACTCTACCAGTAAACTTATTATAGGATTGACTTGTCACCCTGAAAATAAACACCTCAAAATAAATCGAATAAAGACTGCTGTGTGCAGTTGCGTATTACGGGAGGGGGGGGGGTCTCCCTCACCCCTATTGCCCCCATCCCCATTTAAAATCTTGAATTGCACAAAAACAATATATCAGTTGCCTTCACTTTCCCCCTTGAAAAATTGGTGCACCCTCAGGTACCCCCTGTAGAAGTGTATAGGCACATGCCACTGGCTGTGTGTCATCTCATAGGCCAAGCTGTCACCACCGCACTTAGGTCTACTCTTTCCGCGGCTTGGATCATGAAAAATAAGCCAGTAACACAAATTTGCCTTAATTTCGAAAAGATTCGCAGATAGATTTCTATACCTCAAATTCAAATATACTCACAACAAGAACTTGACAAGATTAAGGTGAACACAACATGTCATCATATACTGATTATTAAGCATGCAGCACTGGACGTCCGTAATTTTCACCATCAAGTTCGATAGTTTACGTGTACTTTTAAATTTTATACCTAATAGTCCTTTATTTTCCCCCTTTTTAGACGCGATTGAACACATCACAGTCAACTTTGAGCCTAGTGGGGGTATGTATTTTATTATCGTATAGGCCTATACCAATACAAATCAGAAGCCAAGTCACAAATAAAACTGCCTGAGTTTGGGCACCGCCTGAGCCGCCCGACACACTTGGGGTGGCTCAGGATATACTGTTATAAGATAAACACCAAGCAATATAGTTTGGTCACTACCCGAAATAAATACAGAGGAAGAATAATGAGTATTGTAAAAATACTATACATGGTGTCATGCATTTTTAAGCTCCATTTTTGGTTATGTATATATAATCAAACTTCAAACGGATAAATTGTTTTTCAAAAAAAGTAGACCTAGGCCCTACCTATATTTAGTGAAATGAAATGTCAGTTTTGTGTGGACGTATAAACATTTCCCAAACATTTTCGTTTTCAGATTTTACTGGCTGCATGGCCGCAGTGTCGGTGGACACAACGCCTCTGATCGCGATGTCGGAACCCATGCCGTCAAACTTTGTTTTCCTGTACGTCAGTTCCGACACCGACGTCGTCATTTCGATATCAAACGACAAGGACCCGAGTGTTTCCGAATCCTACCGAATCATCATCGGACACGGCACTGGTGTCCGCTCGTCCATATTGAAATGCGGCGCAGGGGACCAGCCGCGGTGCGACGAGGTCTTCTTCGCCGAAACGTTCGAAGTGCTCGGCCAGGATCGCCTGTACGGATTTTGGCTCGATGTTGGCGGGTCAACGGAGGGCGCTATTTCATTTGGCCGGGAGGGACATCCTGCTTTTCTGAGCTTTCATCCTGAAATAAATTTACTGCAGGAAATATTTTATTTAGCTTTCTCTGTCCGCAGTGTTGGTTCGGCAAAAATCATTGTTTGTTAATTAAAGCACGTGGAAGGATATGTGGTTGTTTCTTTTGTGATTCAGAGTTATGATGAAAATAGTAACTAAAGCCCGCACATGCCGGCAAAAAGAAACAGTTAGGGCCTACTGGATTTATTTTACAGGGAAGTGTTGCTCTGAATTTTTATGAAGCAAATTACTACGAAAGTCATTTTTGTTTTGCAATGAGTTTATGGTGTAAATTGTGTCGAATGAAATGTTTTCTCTCATACCAGATCACCAGATCCACTGGTATAACAATATGGTATACTTGCCTAGGGAAATAGAAATACTCATAAAACCTATAAGTTGTTCGTTATTCTGAACTGAGAAAAAAAATGAAATTATTAATTTTTTTCGGTTCTAGCTTTGAATATCATTCTTCCCAGCTATTCGTTAAATTCAACACCTTATCTGTTTAATGATTTCTATATAAACTGCCTTTAAATATAAAATCATTCTACAAGGGACGCTGATAATCATAATTACGACACCAGGTCATCGTATAAACTTTCAGGAATTTTGCTATTTTAAAGGGTTTTTCTTTTTGCCCATGGGATTATGTGTTATAGTGTTAGTCTGTTTGTTTGTGTTTTTGCAAAATAGGGTTTTTAGTCATGCTATGGGAGAGCTACTTGACAGTGATTTAGTTCACTTTTTAGCAATCCCGCAGGGGCGTGCAATTATCTTGGTGTAAGGGTCTTAGTCTTTTTATGGTTTAATGTGTATTTCTTTAAACTTATGTCTTTTACTGTCTGTAATATTATTATTATTTTTGTTTTACCTATTGTAAATTTGACCTGTGAAATAAAAATGAAATGAATGAAATGAAACTTAAAGCTAGAACATCCCTACACCTCTCAACCGTTAGACACCAGGGACCCATCCTTTTAAACAAAATTCGATCTTCCTGCCCAACGCCTTCAATGAGAGCATGTAAAAGGTTTAATACTTCTCACTGCTGTTAATGGTCAATTTGATACAAGTTATTACTCTAACTGCCAAATAAAGACATCTAATAACACATTGTAAGTTGAGGATGGTAATTTAGTATATGCCATGTAATTTGCTAATTTTAATTTATTAGGTCATAATGAATTTAATGTATACACATCTATAATATTTATTAATACATGTACATGTATCTAATTTTGTTAATCATTAAGTTTATATCATCATGCACTCCTTGTAAGGCAGCAGACCCAGTACAAGCTTCGGCTTCTTGTCTGACCTCCCCATATACTGCATGTAGTATTATTACAAGTTCCGTTAATTTTACTTATAGCTTAGAGTATGGAAATACCTGAAACCTGAAACATGATGGCAATATCACGCCGTTGTGAAAATGGGCCCAATTATACTGCTACAGCATACTCAACATGGAGAATTCTGCCTCCCCTCCCCGTCGAGGCACGGCCATGGGGTATACGAACCCCCCCCCCCCCGCCCCGCCCCGCCCCTCCAAGTTTTCGCCCTACCCCATTTTGCCCTCGTTCAGCATTTCGGAAAGAGAAAAAAAAAATATTTTACTACTTCAATACTCGCCCCAGTAGCGTATCCAGTTTTTTTTTGTTGGGTGGGTGCATTTGGGTGGGTGGGTGAGTGGGGGCCGGGGGGGGGGGGGGGGGGAAAGCAAAATCGGTGTTCCCCCCTGAAAAAAAATGCATTATACATGTAGCGCGCGTGTGGTATGTTCGAAATTTCCTGGGTATCGCTGCAAAACTTCTGAAGACTGGATTTGATTCATCTTGTTGATAACTCTGACCTCTACCGTTCAAAGATAACGTCTTCTTCCGAAGTGTTGACTTTAAGTTGTTTTCAATTGACTCCCTTTTAAGTTAAAGCCAGAGGTCATTGAGACAAGGGCGGATCTAGAACACAATTTTTTGGGGGGCCAACAAAATTTGTTGGTTACCCCAAAAAGTGGGTTAAAAATGACGGCGTGGGGTTAGGGGCCCGCTTAAGGCTCCCGAAAATTTTTGGATTCTAGATGCTCTGTGGTGCGACCTGAGGCAATTTCTGACCACTTTAACCAATATTTTTTTGAGGAAAAGATGGTGGTGTACTCATTGCCTGCCTTTTTTTCGGGGGGGGGGGGGGGGGGGCATGGCCCCCTTTGCCCCCCCCCCGATCCTAGGTTTGATAAAAGTCCATGTAAACTGGGTTTTTCATTATTTATACGATATTCACTGTGGACTGTGGAGTTTTGTAGTCGTACCGGGCGGGGGGGGGGGGGGGGGGGGGGGGGGGGGGGGGGGGGGGGGGTTCAAAAGACACACCCCAAATTTTACATTATGGGTCATTTTTTTTAGCTACCAATTTCAATCTCAATAGCTGACAAAATAATAAAAAAGTGAAGCACTTTATCTGACCAGTAGTTAAGATCCTTATTTGCACGTGATCCTGCACTTTCAATTAAAAAAGGTTCACTTTTACCAGGTCAATTGGAGACTTTAGAACGATGATCTTTGAAAAAGGTGTTTTCGAGAAAACCCACTTTAAAGTTTGGGGTATTGCCATTTTCTTATTTTAAATCAATTTTTTTTAAGTTTTACTTGATAAATCCATTTTACCAAAAAAGACATTTCAGTCAACATATTATTTCGATAAATTTACCAATTAAAGGGCGGTTTATAAAGAAACATTATTATTTATTTCCTCACTTGGAACACTGTCCGGTATCGCGTCAATTGTATACGGCGCGGCTCGTGGGCCGGATGTACTAAGATAGAACATTTCATATCTGGCCGGAAACTGAGGAACGATCATAGTGATCAAATAACATTGCGATGATTAAATTTGTTATTATTATTATTTTTAGAGTAACACGTATTTTGTACTCTCATTTGTAAACCAAACAATCGTTTGACAATAACGCGCGGGTGGCCGATGTCTTTTTTTTTCTTTTTTTGAGAAACGGTGAGGTAGCTATGAAATGGACACTTTTGGAAAAAGAGGCTCTTTTTTTATACCGTTTTTTTTTCTTCAAAGAAACATGTCCCGCACGTGAGCCAGGTGGGCTACATTCGAAAAGATTTCTTTTGACTTTGAAAATGTGGGAAACAACAACTTAATTTTAATTTGACCCGCTTATATTTTAGGCCGCGTTTTTAAAGGCTTAGCGGAGTGGCTCATGAACTTTTAAAAAAACCCTTCTAGAGTTGGCTGGAACCCGAACGCCACGTATGGTTCTGACAGTAATCAGTGTCGGAAGCACCAGCCTGTGTGACTCATAGCAAATCACACTGCGTAAACTTACGGAAGTGAGATCCTGTACGTACCCGTATAATTAGAACGAAACGAAATCTGTGCCGATTGTTGTAGGGAAGTCGCATTCCAAAAGTGGCAATTTCGAATCATTCTAGACCGAACTTTAAGCAGCAGTTCTCAGTTGTGTTTACCACGGTGGCTTTCCGATGCATTTACCTGGCTAATTATGGGTCTGAGCTGTAAGGGAAAGCCGATATCGGTGTCGGGTTAATGCGCTGTACAGTGCGACAAACCTTTTTTGAGTTGAAGGTTTTGCTAGCTGTCACCGCATAAGGTCGAGGGTGTGACACGGCAGCAGACGGGCGGTGCAGACAACGCTTCTGTTCATGCTGTTCCCGATACGCTCCCAGAACAGAAATCCAGTGACGTTCCATGTGTTTTTGATGGCAGAGCAAGATGATTTCAGGTACGTTTTACTTGCATGCCTTTATGTTTTTGAGCAAGGAACAAATGTCAGTTATTAATATATTTCTGGGGGATTTTATTTGAGGCAGTGGATATTTGGCTGTGAACCGGTCCCCGACCGGCATTATTTATTCTTTCTGAAGAATGTCACAATTATCATGACACTATAAGAGTAAGACACTTATGTCTATAGTTTGTCTTCATCGAGATATGTACCTTTTTGCACGTTTTGCATAGTAAAGAAATGTTTAACATGTTTAAAGGGAAGATACAACATTTGCAAGCATCAAAAAACGAATTGATCAAATTATTACGAAAAACCTCACTGAATTGTTAGGGACTGACAGTCTAAAGCATCCTGTAAAATCGTGGCTCCTGGTGTGCTGACATTTTTCAAAAACTGTTCCTCATTTTTCATATTTAGTTATTCTGACTTTTCTTTGCAATTGATTGGAGAAAACTGTTTTTTTTTCAAAAACTGTTCCTAATTTTTCATATTTAGTTATTCTGACTTTTCTTTGCAATTGATTACACACCTGTGAAGGGGTACAAGTCTGCTAGACTGATTCTCTGACCTTACAATTCCCCAAAGTGTATTAATTGCTCCGTTTCATCTTAAGTGGGGTCAGGGAACCAGACTACCAGAATTGGATAGGTTTTCTTGGTTTTTCCAGCATCTACAAGCCCAAATAGTGAAACAAGTCAGTTAAACAATATTTTCTATAACATACAAATCCTCCAAATCCATTTATTTCTGAAAATTGTAGCAAAAGCAAATGTTGTACATTCCCTTTAAGATCCACAGACCATAATGACATTATTTTACAATTCACGTCACCAGGACAGTCACAGACTGTTGACAAGTAATATTGTAGGCCCTGTTGTAAGCCTTGAAACTATGTTTCAGTTCTCAGTCCAATTCTAATTCCCCAGATTTCAGCTTAAATACTCAGCTTAAATCCAGAAGTTGAGCCTGAATTGGCCACACCTACATCTAGCTGGTTCACGTCACAATCCGCCAGTGACAAAACCAAAGAGCAAGTTCATGTTTTGTAATTTAGAATTAAAAAAATCTGTTTAGCTCAAAATAAAGGGAACGACGGGGCTTAGACATAATGATGTAGGCCTACATGAACAAAAAGTTGTTAATTAATTTTTTAATTCCAAATCACATAAATGTCAACAGGGTCTGAAACTCTGAATCTGCCCCATTGACAAAGAAGTTTGATAGGCTTAACCCTAACCACCCCACCTCCATCAAAATCCATTTCCCCATTTTGGTGGATTTTGGGGGACTTGGTCCAGAAGGCCTGGCGTGACTAAATATTGATGGAGTATGATGGACTTGGGCCTAATGGCCTGAAGCAGTGTTAGGGATATCCGATTGATTTTGCCTAGCTTCCTGTAGGCTGTACTGCTATTATGATAAGAGAAAAGCCATGTGTAGTCTCAAGTCCATGAATGTCAACCAGTGCGTCAGTGGTGGATTCTATTATGTCATGTGCAGTTTTGTATTGAATGCACAGTGATTGATGGATTTTGATGGACTTGGTCCAGTTCCTAGTAAAAGAGGCTAGGGAGTTAGGGTTAATTTGAAATATTCATAAGATGGAATTGTGTCGGGGTGCCAGGCAGGCTGGCCAAGTATCTGGATTTTCCATCATTCTTCCATCTTATGAATAGTTTAATTGCGGTACCCGCTGCTACATGTACATCAGATTCGAACCAGCCAACCGATCCCGCAAGCTCGGTGGTCGAGTGATAAGACGTCTGCACTAGACAGCAGGTGGTCGTGGGTTCGAGTCCCACCTGAGTCATTTTTGTCCAACTTTCACTCGGGAGGTAACACACTGAGTAGGCCTATACTGTGTTTATACGTCGGTGACGGGCAAAACCTATTAATTCGAAATAAATAATAATTTTAATGATACTGGAAATATTTTTGCTTTGTGTCCACATTGACTATAAAATTAAATTCCTACAATGGACCTTGCTGAATGAGGCCCGCTATTGCCTAATGAGGTTTGGAAAAAAAAACATTGGGCTAGTGAGTAGTATGTCATTTCAATAAATGAACAGGATGATGTATTCATCGTAAAATCGGCAATCACCACAAATAACCAGCCTTCCTTGAAATTCTCAAACCCAGTCAATTAACCTGGCCGTTGAGTTCCTGGTTGGCATCAAAGTTTAGTTCCACCGAGCAAGCTGTACGTGGATGGTTTATAAATGGCTCTTTTTATTGCTTCCCGGTTCCGAGAAGTGTGATAAAAATAGTGAAAACTGCATGGTTTCGCAAACGTCAACGGAAAGTAGGTCATTCGTGCATTCGCAGGGCGCACACATTCATGTATAGTCACGTAAACATCGGCAATACGTATACATGTACGACTGTTTTCATTTTTAGCAATGAAAGTTCTCTCCGTATT